GCTCCCTGCCCCCTCCCCCGCGGGCGCCCGGCGGCCGCTCTCTGAGGCGCCGAAGGTCTCCCGGCCCCCTCTGCCCTGGCCGCGCAGGCCGAGGCGGCGTGCTGGGCCGCCGAGGCGGGAGGCCCGCATGGCGCTCCTGCCCCACACGCACCCCTGGGGCGGCAGAGCCTCGCCCCCGTACCCCCCTGCCCGGGCTCCCAGCGTTGAAGTACTGAAGCAGCCTCAACCTCTTACGCTCGAACTTTCTTTACAACTTTAGGGACTTTCTTTACGTTCAAATCGTAACGAAACCTGTAAACGAAACCCTGCCCCTGTGGTAGACCTGTCAGTACAGAGCACTCCGAGGGCTCGGGGGTCTGCTCGGCTAATTTCGCAATTGAAACGTTATGAAAATGTCTCAGTAGTAACCTGAAGGGTTGCCTAATAATCCGCGTGGCGAGATATCTGTCACGGTTGGTTTTCGGGGGATTTTATTCTTAACCGCTGTGTTTCTTTTCTCTTGTGATAGATGAAAATGAAGCAGAGAGACCAGAGGAAGAAAAAGCTAGGTGAGTATCTTGAGAACTGGCAAGTCCTGCAGTGTGGCCACACAAAAGTTATATTCGTTACGTTCTTCCCAGTTGCTTGAAAGTCCATAGCACCCGAACACACTCGGGTGTCTTTGAAAATCACCTTAAGATAGTATGTTTCACCTGCTCAAATGACTTGTCTTTTCTGTGAAATGGTTTTACCTGTGAAATTGGGACACTTGCGTATGAAAGTTATTTTAAGTTTTAACAGTATGGACAGCAGTAGCCCCTCACAAAATACCAGCAGGTCTTTTATTTCTGTAATTAATGTGCTTTGCAGTCTTAGTAATGGATCAGGACTTCATTTGTTCTGGACAATTTAGAAATTAAAAGACAGTCTTGTCTCCCAAAGAGTTTACAATGTAGTTACAAGAAGAGGAATACAAGGAAGCAGTGGAAGATTACCAGCTAGCTTGATGTGCAGGTTGCATAACACATCTACTTTGGGTTTTGGGGTGGTTGTTTTTATTAGTAAGAGAGTATTTGAAAGAAATTTAGAAAAAGCTTTGGAAGTGTTTGAGGGAGCCAGCTTGATTTAATAAGGGGCCGTATGAGAGAGCACAGAGATGCTCCTTTGAGAAGCTAGCTAAGTTGATGGAGGTTGGTAGCAAGGACTGACTGGAAATGGGAATAAGTCTCTCATACTGAATGAAAGAAGTCTCACAATTGATAAAGTATGGAAAATGTTGATTGTCAAATTAAACAAATAAAGGGGAAGCCAATGCAAGAAAACCTGTGTTTTTACTTTTTATAAATGCTTCCAGTCAACAGAGATTTTTTTCAATGAGAGCTCTTGAATTTAGTTACCCTTGGTGGACTTCTTGTCCGTAAGTTTGCTCAGTTGCTTTTTTGAACTGACATCAACTTTTGACAGGCACAGTGTGATACAGCAGTAATGATCTCTACCACTTGACTATATACAATATCATTTTGAAGCAGCTACTAGATGCAATTATTTGATTCCCATTAGTTCCTGTAGTATAAGAAAGAGTAGTTTCCTGTCACCTTTTCCATGTCACTTAACAGTGTTCTAGACCTCTGTCACATTAGTCTTGAATCATCTCTTTTCCAGAGCAAAGAGTTCTAATTATTTATTTGCTTTTTATTTGGAAGCTATTCCATATCAATTGATTCCTTTTCTTGACCTGGTACCTTTTGTCAGTATTAGAGTTGTTTCAGAAAATTACTTGCATGGCAACTGAAATGATCTTTAGAAACAGGGGTGTTTTACTCCAGTTTCTGGTCAGTAGTGTCTAGCTTGGCATTTGTCTGCCTCAATACATAGTTATGGACTAAAAGGCATAACAAATGGTAGCTTATGCATCTTATGAGTTGTGTTTGGAACTCTGGAAGTGTGGTGACAGTTTACCTGTTAAAAGTTTTGGTCTCTGGCCTCTCAGTTTTGGCATTCTTTGTATATATAAAAATTGTGAGGTTTTATTCAGATTCTGTAGCTAGTCTGTCATTTTCCTGGGTGGTGAAGTGAAATGCTCAAGCTTGAATCCTTGGGGTCGTACTTGGTCTGTGTTGGGTTTTGGTGCAACGCTCGTGAGTGGGTGTTTTGCCCACAGAAGACAGGATCAAAATCATTCTATTCAATAAAAATTGGCAGTTGCTCACTCCATTTCAGAAATATCTTTTCAGTGAAAGAATATTGTTTCTAAATGGCTCCCTGCTTACTCTGCTAATTGTGATGCAATATCCTAACAGTTAATGGAACTGTGGAAATGAAAATATTGCTGCTTAAGAAACAGCAGTAGGTAAGCCCAGTGAGACAGCTCATTTGCATGGATTTGACAGTGCTGGTCATTTTACGTAGACCAGTAGTTTTAAAATTTTTAGTTTTCAGCATACAGTTAAAATATAATTGAATTCATCATTGACTTGTATCTATTCCATATGGTGGAAGAAAATTTCACAATACAGATATGGGAATTTTGATTCAGTGCAACATTACCTATGGGTATTTAAATGCTTTTTCCATTATGTCTTTGAAAAGTGTCAGTCTGCAGGGGCGGGAAGCTGTTATTCTCCCTTCATATATTGTGGAAGATTTCACTTTGATTTCAAGAGTATCCAGGTGTAATGCCTTATTATGTCCAAGTATTCTACAAACATCCAGTTAGTATGATTTATGATAGCTAAATATTATCCTGCTAATAAAAAGTTATATTAATCTAGAAATTTTTTCTGTTGATTTTTTTTTTTAATTAATGCAGAAGATAGCTGGAGCTTTGGCTCTTCTCTGCAGTGATGTAGCAAGGCTTTTTTCATTAGCTGATATGTGTGAAATACTATCCGCATAAATACCTAGTTTCATCTTTTCCTGTTTGTTTTTGTTCAAGTGCTCCGCCCCCACCTGGAAACGAAGAGGACGCGGCAGAAAATGGCGTTGTGAAAACGGTAGTTTTAAATGTTTTTGAAATACTGCTTTAATTTGTTTTGACTTAAGGGGTATTCGTAATTTGGCTAGGACTTATAATTAAATGAATTAATGCGGAAGTGTGTGCCTTTGATTTTTTTTTTTTTTTTTCCTGAAAGGTGTTTGACACTATCTGCAGAAACTTTGTAGAGATTACTAAATTAGGAATTCTGATTTCCAGCTGCAGTCCACCTTTTAAATCTAACTTACAGAAAATAAATGAATAGTACTTCCATTTTTGGGGGGGAAAGACGGTGCGTCAAGACAGCTGTCTGTTCTCAAAGATACCCTTTTCAAAATGATACTCTCTATTTTTCCTCACAGAAAGGAAAGTAAAATCCTCTGATCATTTTTCTTTTTTGAACGTGATAAACAATCAGCATTTGCAGAACTATGGGAAAATGCAGACCAAGAGGTGAATTACATGTGCCTTTCAGAGGCAACAAAACAGACTTGTTTGGTAGTAGTCTTCAATGTTCAGTTTAACTTCAGTGTTAGTATGATGAAGGAAAGGACCAGGAAATGAAATTTGCAGTTGCAATGTTAATAAAAGGCCTCAGTTTACTGTGAATGGGAACAGTTTAAATTTGTTCTATGAAAAAATTGTAATTTTACCTCACTGGGATATTTTAGCTTATATTTTGCAAGAATTCTCTTAAGTGATGGAGAAACCATTATAATGATACTTGTGCAAGTTCTAAGGACTGGCCTCTCTCAAAAGTATATTTTTTTTCAGTAAGTCTGATACCTTAGTTATAAAAGATATTACAACTTACTGAAAGTTGGGGAAAAAATTATAAAAACTTAAACTTACTTCAGTTGTTTAAACTGAAAAGCTCTTTATTTTAAGTGCACCAAAGGCTTTTTGTGCTGATGCTAATACTGTAAGTGGGCAATAGATTTAATATGTTAGGTAAAAGGAGACAATAGTATCCTTTTTTGGACTTGGTGATTTAAAAATATTTCTGAAAATCCTCATTGGTGCAGTTTCCTTGTACTTGCAGATCTTTGTGTTTTTCACCTATATAAAGCCTACCATTGTTAGGATATCATTAGAACATCTCCATAAAACTGAGACTTCATGGTGAAAGGTGCACATGAAGGGTCAGCAGCAACCTAGAAAAATGGATGGTGTTCAAGTTGGTTGAATAAGAAAAGGTGAATATTCCTGTGAGGAGGGAACTAAGAAATCATTGTTTATAAGTGAAATTGGGTTTGCTTGAAAAGGTACATGCTCCAAACAAAATTTTATTTTCTGTTTGATGCATTTGTAGTGGCTCTCTGCTGTGTGGGTTGCCTGGTGTGTGAGAGAGTGGTCAACTTGTACTTTTCAGCAGTGGGGCATTCAAAGACTGTCTTCCATCTTCAGCTGTTATTTACAGAATATCTATGCTGATCTAGAAACCCCCCCCCCCCCCCCCCCCGTTAGACTCTTAAATGTTATGTAAATTATATTAATATTGTATAGCAAGGATGAACTGCACTCCAACATCTTATCTTCTGTGCAGCTGCTTATTTTTGTCTAATTTATGTACCAGGCAAGTTAATAAATGGTATAATAGATAAAGGCTGGAGCTCAGCTGTGCTTGGATAACTAACTGCAGGCTACCTGGGCAGAATCAGCTTTGGTATGTTCAGCCTCTTGCTGAAAGATTCAACAAATATGTGAATAAGGGTGATCTGGTTGATAAAGTTCACTTGGGTTCCACAAAGTTGTTGAAGAGGTTCCTCACCAAAGGATTTCAAGAAAACTAAGCAGCTATAGAATGAGTACCACATGGATAATTGATGTGTAAAAATAGAAAACAGAGGGTAGAAGTAAAGGTTCCGTTTTCACGTTGAAGGAAGTCACCTCCAGTGGGGATTCCCTGGAACGTTGTGCATAACCTGTGGTGTTTAATGTGTTTATAAGTTACTTGAAAAAGGGGTAAGTTGTGGGATCACAAGTTTTCTGATGTTACAAAGTTATTCAAGATAGTAAGAGCAAGGACTATCTGTGAAGAACTGACTGGTTAGTAAATGGTTATTGAAATTCTGTATAGAGAAAGAAGAGTGATGTTCATGGGAGGAAAAACAGGTTTACAAATAAAATGGTGGTCTCTGAGCTGATCACTGCCACTTAGGAGGGATGCACTAAGAAACACAGAAAGATCGTGAAATTAATGGTTAATTGCTTGTCTGGAGTCTAAAAAGCAGTTAAACCTTGGTATCTACAGAAAATGAATAGAGAACAAAATGGAAGATATTGTTATACCATAAATTCATGGTTCAATTGCACCCTGAATTCTATGTGCTGCTCTGTTCTCCTCACACTGTAAAGGCTTTACTTCAACTGAGAAGAGTTGAGAGAACAGCAAGAGTAATCAAGGGAGCTTCCATACAAGGAGTGGCTGAGTAAGCAAGGACTTCTTAGCCTGGAAGACAGGCATACATAGGATATGATGAAGGCTAACAAAATCATGTATGGAGACTATAAGGATTCACTCCTCACAGTCCTTTTCATTTAACAGTCCCAATTCTCATATGAAAATTGTAGGAGCCATGATGAAAACAAATAAAAGAGGTTGGATCTTCATGCAGTAGACAGTGCTATGGAACTCCTTGCCAAAGAGAGTGTCGCTGCTGGGAGTTTATATGAGTCCAAGGGAAGTCTGGGCAAGTACTTGAGAAAAAGATCCATTGGGGGTTACTAAACAGACAAACCATAACTGGCTTAGGAAATACCCTGAGCTGATAATAGTCAGCAGCTGAAAAAAGTGTTAGGGAGGAGCATCATATGTGTTTGCCCTGTTTTTTCTCTCCCCTGTGGTTGCTGGGAGGGGAAAGCCAAAACAAAACACCAAACAAACCCAAAACACTGGACTGAATGAACTCTTGGTGTGAACTGGCATGACTGTTTTACTTACCAGAAAGCTTGAATGCAATGGAACAGGACAGCATGCAGTGCAATCTTGTATCTGTTTTTTTCAGCCTGGTCACTGAAAAATCTCAAGTATTTTATATAGTTTACTGATGTTAGTAACTGATTAGATTTCTCTGAAGCGCAGTGTTCATCTACAATTGGAAAAACTTTTATTTGAGTTACTCTGGATATGTAATGAAGGATGGCAAGAAGCTAGTCTTGCATATCTTTTAAGTTCTTCCCTGAGTGACAAGATAAGAGTAGAACTGGTGTGTATGAGCTAGATAGAGGGGAAAAAGGATATTAGATAGTGGAAACTATTTTGTGTTTATTTAGGTAATACCATGTTTCAGAAACAGAGCTTAGTATTAAAGATACTTCCCTATATTGATCCAGATGTTTTGGATACTTGTAGCATTTCAGCAGATGAGCCTCCTAAGTTTGCTGTTAATGCTACTGGCTTCTGAGTTCTAGGAAAAGGAGAATTTTCTTTCAAAGATTTCTAGAGTGGATAGTTTTGTCTGGATTATTTTTCCACTGTAAAGGTAAGTGACTGCTTTTTGTCTAAGCAATGACTTTTTCTTTCGTAGAAGGTGGCAGAGGCTGAGGATGACAGTGATAGTGATAGTGATGATGATGAAGATGATGTTCAAGTCACCATAGGGGATATTAAAACAGGAGCTCCACAGTATGGGTAAGTTATTTGCAAACATTAACTGGGGGGACTTTGAAGATCACATTTAAGTATTAGTTCAGGCTCTTTAATACTTGTCAGTGTCAAATTATATGCATAATTAGTCTCAATTTAGGTTTTTTTCAGCTTTTCAACAATGTTTTCAATGATGCAATGACTTGAAAACAAAAAAAGTGAAATTAAACCAATGAGATGTCTTAAAGGAAGAGCTGTTGTAGGAGTTAAATTTTGGTTTCAGATTTTGAGAAGTAATTGTATTAAGTTTGTAAAGTCAAGTGTTGAGTTTTATTATGGAATGGCTATGTTACATAGCATTTTTAGGGTCATTATTGTGATGGTGACACTTTTCTGGCAAATAATAGAGAGATAAGCACAGAGAATATTAGAAACATTTGTCCTTGGTTCTGTTTGTAGTGGATACAGTTCTAATTAGACCTCTATACTTTCAATTCCTATTGATGTTCTCAAATAGGATTTTAATGTACTTCAGGATTGAGCTCCCAATCTCTGGACATAATTTCTCAAGATCACGTTTTAGGCATTTGTACCATTCAAGAAATTTTTTGCTGCTGTTATTGTCTCATATTCCTTCTTCTCTTGATAAAGGGCTTGTTTTTCACTGAACACTTTTGAACAGTATTAATTTTACCCCAAATCATGAAATATTATTTTTTATTACATGGAAGTTTTTTGAGGGAAGTGGTCTGCTAGTTTGTCTTGGCAATCCTAATGTTTTTACGCTTATTAAAACCAGAGTTACTAGGGCGTCATTTCTTAATAGAATTATGACAGGTCTGCAGGTAGGTCTGACTCACGTATATTAATTGTGTTCTTAACTTCAGAATGCAGGCAATTTACTCATTTTTGAAACATAATATTTTTAAACTTCCAGTATTTCAAATCCTAAAATAGCTGTGCAAATCAATGTAATATAAAAAATAGCAATTCTTTCAGTTCTTTATTTGTCAGCTTCCAATAACTTGCAGTATGCTTGTGGTGTAGGAAGCGACCTCAAATTTTGTGAGACTAAAGCAAAACTAGATTTATATTCTCAGTGGATTTGCTGGTGCTCTTTCCATGAATACAGAAAACAATAAGCAGATGATCCTAACTCCAATTAGAAAGTTTTATGTAGAAATGGTTGTTTTCTGAAAAACCTTTTTTCTGGGCAAATTGGACAGAAAGTTCATGGAAGGGCAGTAACCTAAACCAAAGTCAGCATTGCTGTTCGTTTTAACTTCAGTATAACAAGTTAATTTTATAGGATTAAATTATTTTTTATACAGTAGTCAACTGCTGTTTAAAAAAAAGTAACATGTGTTTGACGGTCAGGCCCAAACAGAGGATGGCAGATCAGAAGGTTAAATGTTTTGTGTCAGTTTTGTACTGTTGTAGCATTTGAATGAAAACTAATGGAAGTGGTACTGTAAACTATACACTGCCTTCTAATTATATGCTAGTCTCATTATGTTTATGGGTTGATACCACCTGTGAGGGTAAGATACATTGCATGCAAATGGTAGCGAAAGCTACCTCTTAATGTTCCAAATGAACAATCCTGTAATTCCTAAGGTAGTTAAATCAGTTCAGTATCTAGATTTCTGAGAGCATTTTTATGAAGAAAGCTCTCAAGTGTTTTGGAAAGTGAAATGTTACATACTTTTCTGTTGGTCACAAGGATAGGTGATAGCTAGAAGTACATTGAAACAGGCAGCCTTTCAATCATTGTAAAGAAATGCTTGTATTTTCCACTTCTGTACAGATTAAAGGGAATAATTATGAAAAGAGAAAAGCATCTGTCTAAACCCTTTCTTTTTTTTTATTTTGTTTTTACTCTAATCCCAGAGTGTCATCTGTATCCTTAAATGAACTGCATTTTTCCTTTCTCTCTTCTTCTGGTTCTGTCCATTCTTGTTTCTATCAAGGTCTTTATCCTTTCAACTCAGGAAGAGTGACTGGGACTTGCTTCACAACTGTTTATTAGTTGGAGAAGTTGCTACTGAGCATAGAAAGGTACACTCTCTTCCTCCTAGGCTGATCTCTTTACTTTTACAGTGTTACCAACTTGGAAAGCTAGAGATTCAGGATGGCGATTGAGCCTGGGTCCAGTTTGTTTCTGGATCTAGCTAACTCGTGTTTTGTGTTTTCTTCTGTTTTAAGAGTTCTCTCTGTCTAATTAGCTTTTTGTTAATTTCTTTAAGTTATGGAGCAGCACCTGTGAATCTCAATATTAAGACAGGAGGACGAGCTTATGGATCTTCTGGTAAGAAAATTTACATAGTAATATTAGTAAAAATGCAAAAAAACCTGTTGATTGTTTTGGATGAAGGAAATAATTTTCACTTCCAAAACTTCTTGATAAATTTAAATCTGACTTTTTATTTCTATTTTAAGTATGTTACAACTGTTAATACTCTCTTTGGTAGAGACAGAAGGCTCTAACTTTCTAACTTTTCTTCACAGGTGCAAAAGTTAAAGGGGTGGATCTAGATGCACCAGGGAGTATTAATGGTGTGCCACTTCTGGAAGTAGATTTAGATTCTTTTGAAGATAAACCTTGGAGAAAGCCAGGTAATGCACTGGTTTACATTAGCTGATATGTAGGTATTCAGTAGGTTATTTTAATAATAATTCCCATTTACTGCATGTAGATGTTACTTACCCTATAGGTAGAAGATACTGTACAATATAACTTGACAAAAGCAGCTAAGTTACTTGTTGCCTTTGTGGTGTGCCACAGAGTGTGTTGGTGTGCCATGTTTCTTAGTATACATCCTGCACATATGTCGGTAAAAAGAGACTGTAGGACATGCCCTTTATTTTTTTTAATACATGTATATCCTGAACTCTCCTTGGAAAACTGTATTTCTATGGAGATTACTGCCATGGGTGTGTGCCATAGGACAGAAGATAAAGCAGAAAGGAAAATATTTCTAGCAGGTTTGAACATGAAGAAAGGTGTAACGTAACTGCTTGTGCTTGTTTGTGTTCATGCATAGACGTCCATAAGCTTTGAAGAAGAAGCTGGTACTGCATGGGCTTTCCATAAGTCTCCTGTTTGTATTGTCTGATTGGCTCGAGTGATTTGGCCAGACTTGTCTAATACCAGTGTTGGTTGGGTTTTTTAGTGGCAGTACAACTTGCTGCTGTGTATAGTTTTTCCTAGTGTTTGTGTATTGCTTTGGCAATGCAAATAGCGTCTACAAAATGGAAAAAAGCCTTTAATACTATTCTGGTGTTTGAACTGTTAGCTATTTGAAATATATTCTGTGCATATGTGTTATGTCTGGTCTCTCTCTTACAATAAAAATACTTCGTGGCATCAAATGAAACTAGGAGTCAAAACGAAATGAGGAGTCAAAATACAGAACAAGCAAAAGGGAATGGTTCTTCACTGAACATAGAGTAAACCTGTAGATCTTATATTTGTCCTGTTGTAATGATAAGGGGATTATAATATCCTGTGATATTCTGTAAGTACCTGCTCTCGATCCCTGAGACAGGATGCTAGGCAAGATACTCTTTCTGATTAAATTTTTCTGGTTTTATAGTCTTAGCCGTGAATACTCTGTGTTTACTGATGTAAGACTGAATTGTACATTTCAGTAGTATGTTTTTAGATCAATACCTAAGCTGTTTTGATGTTATAAATAGAGTTGTATGTATGTTCAGTGAAGAAAAGAAGAACTTTGTAATATCCTAAAAACCTACGCTTTTCTATTTAAAGGGGCTGATCTCTCTGATTATTTCAACTATGGGTTCAATGAAGATACCTGGAAAGCTTACTGTGAAAAACAAAAGAGAATACGAATGGGTCTTGAAATTTTACCAGTTACCTCAGCCACGAATAAAATTACGGTAATTAGTACAACTTTTGTGGTGTTCTACATGCTTTTTTTCCCTGAAAAGCTGCTTGTGTGTCATAAGCTTGTTCTGCTCAGTTCAGTGCGTTTGTTCAGTGAGTTTGCACCTGACTTCCCACCCCAAGTCTAGAGTGCTCCTGTGTTGCTTCACTGGCAATTTGTGTGGACAGTGTGACAGACTAGCTACAGCTAGATTGCATCTGTACCATTATTCAGATTGTGGCCCATCACTTAAGAGTTGTATGGTGTCTTAATGGGCAATGTGTTATTTAACTTAGGCTGAAGACAATGCTATGGAAGTAAGACCAAGTGCAGAGATTCTCGATGGCAGATACCATCTTTTTAAGGTGAATTTTAGTAAACTTTTGTTGGTTGCTCTCATTTTTGTTGAGTATTGCTTCCCATGCCACCACAGAGTGATAGAACAACAACTGAAACGGATGTAGCCATTATTTCAAACTCTCATCATACATCAGCGACTTTCTGCGTATGTCACCAAATGCTGATTAAAAAGCGTTGCTTTGTTCGTCAACCTTTTGCAAGCACGTGAGTTAGTGGCCTGGTGAACTAAAAAATTTCCCAGTGAAACTAATTTTTCTTTTATGTGACAGTTTATTTTTAGTTGTAGTGCATTTGTTTGTGCAGATTAAAGAATTTGTGCAGATGTGCCGGGGATGCTTTTGTAGATTATGGCATGTTTATTTTTCCTGTGGCCTTGTAGCTCTTACTGTGTTTTGTAACACTTATCCTTGGCAACTCGGATGTGAAAATCAATCTTCCATATTTTTCTGTTCTCTTGGGATTAGATGGCAATAAATCGAGTTATATATAATATTTTTCCCTTCAGAAATGCTGATTTTTAGAGAGCAGAAAAATCTATATGACAAGATTTATCTTAAGGATTGAACATTTTTTTTTTCAACTTCTTGTTTTCTCATTTATCTTTTGTTTGATACTAAAATTGAAATTAAAATAGAAAGGTATTTGTTTTGCTTATTTTCAATATGCAGTCATTTTTGTTCTTGAACTGTCATTAAACTGACTTGGAACTGTTTGTTGCCATCTTCTGTATAGTTGACAGAAGTGTCAATTGCAGACAGGTGTTTTTGTTTCCCCTCATGCTACTTGAGGGTATCCAGTAATTTTGACTTTATCTTAGCAAGAACAGATCAGAAGCTCTTCAGGGCTTTTTACCTTCCTCAGTTATCATTATAATAGTGTTATGGAATGATGGGCAATGGGAGTTACGATTTGCAGCTGATTACACTCTCAAACTTCCCTGAACTGTTGTCCTGAGGGAGGAAGGATAAGTATTCCAAACCAAAGCTTCCCTATTGCTAGCTCAATATTGACTCTCTGGGGGTCCTGTGATCAAACAGTACAGATAATAATTGCATTGTAAGAGTCTGAAGTAAGAGTTTGTTACGTGTTTTACAAGGAGTCCCTATAATTATTAAGTAATTTCATTATCTTTTTCCCCACTCTTCTGAAATACTGAGTCTCATGTAATTTACATGGTATGTTTGGAGTAATCTTCTGTGAATGGCAAGACTTCGTCTCCTACATTTCCCAGTTATTAATTAATAGAAGTTTTACAGATTTTTCAGATAAATACTTAAACCAAACCTAGTCAGTTTTGGGTTTGGTTTGGGATTTTCATATTTCTGGATACTAAAGTTTAATTCAATTTTTAGTGAATCTTAAGTATTTATGTGCATTTTTGTGTGTTTGGGAAAGAGGTGCCTCTGTTTAGAAGTAAGATTCTGCAAAAGCTTAGTAGTTCACTTGCCCACAAGAAACTGTGAGATCACAGCCTATATGATGTTACACCATGAGTGAACTAACTATGTAGAGTGATGTAGCTATGTGGTTGGTACAGTGGCAGCGTCTTTAAAAACTGAATCAGTACAAGTTTATCTTTAATGCTAGTCCATGTAAGTTTTTCTTTCATGTATAATGTGCCACTGAAGTCAAGCAGTACTTGAAGTTCTTGCACCAAAGGTCTTGCATAGCTTTAATAACGTGTCTCTGGAATTTTGCAGTACTTCAGAAACAGCAGTATGTTTTTGAAGTATTCAGTCTGAACTAATGAAAAAATCTTTTAAAATTTGCATAACCCAGAGTATGAGGTGACTTCCTGGTATGACTTGGAAATTAAGTGGTTGCTAGATCTCATGGTCAGTAAAGCAGACAGAAAATCCACTCAGTTTCTTGTCTCATGGTTTGTTGTTGGGTAGCAGACTTGTTAGATAAATCTGTCATTAAGATTATTATGAAGATTATTTTTTTTTTAAGAAGTTTGCTGCTTTTAAAAACTAAGATGTTATTTTGTTCGTACAGGAAATTCTACAAGAAAACCAATTTGGTTTGTTCATGTCCAAATCAAATGCTTGGAAAATAAATATTAAAACTGTCTAATCTTCTGTAATAATTGCTTCTTATATATTAAACACAGTAGTTAAGTAATATATCCTTATAAAATATGGAATTTTACTAGCTGTGCAAAGTTGACGGTTTTTAAAAAATCTGATTAAAGTTGGATTTACTTTCTTTTTGTGTTGGCTGTGTGCTGTGTTGAGTGTTGGGGCTACTACACTTCTCAGGTTAAACTAATAATGAAACGTTATTTTGAAGGTACAGCAGGGCAGAACTGGAAATTTGGAGAAAGAGTTGGCAGTGCAGTCGACCAAAGCTGATTTCACATCTCCTCCTGCCTTATTCAAATCAGGAATTCCAACAAACAGGTCAGTTAGACAGCTGTAACTCCAGACCAAAAAACTTTTTATACTGTTACTTCTATGTATTTGAAGTTCATGAATTTTGTAGGAAAACAGGAAAATACGTTTCTTTAACAGGTAGAAATGAGGGGAAGAGTGATCCTAATCACTTTTAGCCTTCAGTCAGCATTACACATGAATGCTGTTGTGCCTTCATGGCTATTGAGGAAAGAGAAAGTAGAAGGAAAGGGGAGAAAAAACAGAAGGACCAAATAACAAGGCAGCTATAAAAATCTAGGTGTTGATGTATGACACCATGGTTTCTGTGTAGAATTAGATTGGCCAACAAAACGTTTCTAGCTAGTGTCTTTAATGGGTATTAGCTAACACATCTTTTCAGTTAAACAAGACAGAATCAGACAGCTGTGACTTCAACAACAGGAAGGATTCCTGGAACCCAGTATATTTCCTGCAAGGTAGCTTTAGCTTCTCCATATTTAAATATTTTACTATACTTTCTTTGAAATGAGAGAAATTACTTCCTTACTAGGGCTTCTTCCCCTCCTTCTCCCAGTCCCAGGCTTTAATAACTTCTATCCTTTATATCTAAGCTACTGCTGTTTGATACCTGGCACCTGGCTTAGGATGAATCCATGCTCCTGCTTTACTTCAGTTATCAAGTCATCCTGTTTAGAAGTTTTGGTTCTGTGGAAATTAAAAGCTGTTGTATTATAAATGATGATAAGAGAGGCAGAACAAGTTGTACGCTTTTGTTGTCAACAGTTAAAGATTAGCATCTATGACTTGTCTTCAGCGCTGCGTCCAGAAGTACCTTGACTAATTCAGAGGCACTTGTGTTCAGTTCCATCCTTTAAGAGTCATTTCAACACCCAAATATGTTTCTCTTGGGTGGAAAAAAAAAATCTTGCTTGATACTCTTGCTTGCATTTTTCCTCCTGATAGCCTAAATTCTTTTCTGACCTGTCAGGTTATACTGCTCTGGTTTTAGTAGATTTAGTTCTTTTTTTTCCATTTTTCTTTGTCTAAGAAGTAGTAAAAGCCTTTCAAGCTTTGTACCAACCCTGTAACTATTTTTTTCACTTTTGTTTCTGAATTGCTTCTGATGTGTGATGTTCTTGTAACAGAGTTCTCAAAATTGAATGTACCATTCACAGGGTAAGGATTCCAAATCTGTATCTAATACAGGTTTTGTTACAAGATTTCAATTCTTTGTGCATCTCATTGGTGGACAGAGAATCTCTAAAATACTTTAGGAAGTAATTAATGACCAGGTTATTAAAATGCAGTTAAGCTTAAAGTTGTAGAAAAAATGCATTGCATAAATTCTGTGATTCTGTGAAATTTGCATTTGTTGTGAGAAAGCTTAATACAATAAGGTCATACATGTGCATGGTGTAGGCTTCATAAGTAAAATCTTTGTTGTATGCTCTAGCTAGGATAAATCTATCTTACCATAGATGTCTTTATACCATATTTTTTTCTGAAACTTTTTTTCTGCCTGAAGTTAGCAATCTCAAGTTTAAGTGACCATCTTTCTGATTTTTAAAGGTTTAAAGTTAGTATACGGGTTGTTAATCAGAGCTTTCCTGAGAAACCTAAGACATGTCTTTTTTCTTCAGGAACTAAGTTTACCTTAGCAAAGGTTGGGAAACCTGCATATCTTTAAGAATGAGAAGCCAGTGAGTGAAGTTGGTCTGTTGCACAGATAAAGAGGAAACAAAATGGTACATTTCCAGTTGTATCACTTGTGCATTCCAGTGGTTAGAAAAGGTTGTTTTGTATACATTTATTGTGAATACTATGTTTGTAATTTGTTACAATGACAAAACTGACTTCTTTCCATATTTAATATCTGCTCCTTTGGATACATCTGCTTAAAATAAATTCTTGTGTAAAGAAAAAGGTATTTCTACCAATTGGTCAGAAGAGATTTTGAAAGAAAATTGTATGCTCAAAAGCCTGAGAGTAGCTCAGTGAATGACTACATCTTAACTGTATGGGTTATATATACTTCTACTTGAATGACTTCCCCACAATGCAGCTACTATTTTCTGTATATAAAAACCTGTATTACTAATTTCTTTATAGCAAGGCAGTGTTTTATGTGATTGGACTTTTCTTTTTTCTTTAATTAAAGAGTTAATTTTAAGTAGGCAGAAAATTTTTGGCAATCCAGCTCTTTGATAATTTAAAATAATTGCCTTTATGCCATGAGGCATTTGCAATAGCCTTATTGTAAAAATGCTGGAAGCATTTCTCGTGTAGCAGTAAAACTTCTCTCAGCTTCTAACAGTAGTTGATATATTTGGTGAAAGGGAGGGAAAACTGGGTATAGCAGCATTGGTGTGGGGATTGATAAGGAGCTGGGCATGAGGAGAAGAGGAACTCAGAGCAGAAAAGATAGAGACACAAGAAAAGAAAGACCTAGGCAATTTATCTCACCAGAAGCAGCACCTCTTCTCAGTCACACACAAGTACTGCCTCCAGAAAAGCCAGTTCAGGCATCAGAAAGTGGCAGAAACAATATGGGAGCAAAAAATCACCCCAATTAAGGTAAGGCTGGGAAGGGAGGAAGTCAAGTCATGATCCTAATTTAACATTTTAATTCCCCATTTACTAGTCAGGACTGAAACATCAGTTCATGGATGATTTTACACATGATATTGCAGCACATATTTCTCTTTAATGGGAACTCTGAGGACAGATAGTGGGGTTTGCTTTTTTCATTCGTTTTTACACAGACATTCAAATAATTTGTGCCTACTGTTTTTACCTTTTTAAGTTGAGTACAGTAGATGTTTGCATATGATCGCAGTTGAAATTCTCAAAAAAAAAAAAATTGCTGAGGTCTAGCAAGAATATTACTTATTACCAACATGGAAGTTGTAGTTTACAAAATAGAAACAGAATCATTGCTTACCGGCAAATAAAAGTTACTACTTCACTAGAATTGCATCCTAAATGTTTAATTCAAAGAAAAAAATCAGTGCTTGTTCATACAACATGTCTGTGTGAGAAATTTTGCTTGAATTTATAAACAATGACTGTCTTAATCGTAGCTGAGCTATTAGTTGTTTAGAAATGATACCTAAAACTCCTGCTTGATTCTGTGATATTTAGGGCTGTTGAATAGCATAAAGTCTTGGGTAACCCTGAAAGAGCAGTTAGAATGTAATGGGAATGGTTTAGTGAATGCACATCATATGCAAACAATATGGTATAAAATAGAATGTTTGGTAGTTAATTAAAGATTCATTGTGTGCATAGTCACAATTAGATAAAAACTTGAAGGAATCTCTTTTGAGTATAGTGCTTTCTAGAACACGAGGAGGATTTGACGTATTTCAAACCTGTCCTAACCAGACAGGTCATAGAGATATCTTACCGGTTTTTAGACCAATGCTTTTCCTTATGTCATTTCTCAAGGACTGTGCAATAGTATTTCTTTAGTAGGAGAGAAATAAGCAGAAATTTCATTTACAAGCTGGATGCAAACACTGGTATTTTTTCATTCCAGTAATATTTAGACTAGCTGTCCATCACAAAACTTTGTTCTGTCAGAAGCTCTTAGGTTTTTTAACCTCCATTTATGCTTTTTGGGTTATTACTAAAGAGTACATTACATTTAAGTGAGTTTTGCTTTCAGAGAGATTAACCTGTCAGTAACATGGGCTATTGCATCAGCTTTCTCCGTGCTTGGGCCTTTCTATAAACAGAATATTTATAGAAAATGGATTTGTGATATGTCATTACTATGAAAATATACAGGTTTCTCTTGTTTCATGAACTGGCCTTGTGAGGCTAAATGATGAAAACTCAGATACTATTTCAAAAAAATATCTGTTCATATATCAATGATTTCTGTATTGAGCCTGTCCTCAAGAGGAGGAAAGTAAAGCATAAAACACATAAGACTAGAAGGAACACAAGAACATATTAAATACAGCTTTTAAAGTATGCTATAATTATGTAATTCTTAGACTAGACTGTAGGTCTAGTGAATAAATGTGGCATCCAGTAGTTAGACTGTTTCTGAATTCTGACAAGTGGGGTTGGTGGGGGCGAGTGGTCCAAAAAGCAGTTCATTATTTATATTACTTGTGGTGGGGATAAGAGATTTCTGAAGCTATTAATTTGGAAAATAATTGGGTTTGTCTTTTTTTTCTTCTTCTTTTCTCCCTTTCTCTTTGCTCTGTAGAACCTAAATAAACTCAGCTTGCCAAATGAGATTGAGATATTGTTCTGAATTAAATCTCCATGGAGGGTGGTATTCATAGTGCAAATATGTCGTAAATAACCATTCTCTAATTAGAGTGAAATCACTCACTGAGTTGCTGGAATGTTCCTTTCAAGCTACACTTTGTATGAACTCTGCTGTGGGTTCATGTGCATCCCACACGCGTGGATTGCCTTTTTATGTTTGGGTGCATCCACTGGTATTGCATCTGTATCCCAGGTGCCGTGATAGTGTAAGGGACAAACCAAGCCCTTTCTTTTCTTTGCATACAGCACTGAGACAGAAACCTAGTAATGCCTGCTTAACATCTTATCGCTAAGCTAGATAGTGGCTGGGGAGTCTTTGAAATTTCCCCATGTGCCAACTTGCTATGACTTAATCAAGATCCGAGGCTTCAGATTTGCCCCTCTTACAAAACTGTTGAACTGTGAAATTCTGGACACTTCAGATGCCTCTCTTGCCTTTGTGAAGATTACGCTGTTGACAGTGGTGTCATCTGCTGCTCCAATTGCAACTGAACATATGCTTTCTCTTGTTCAATTTCAAGCTCTTTAGTGGAGTACTTAACGAAATCATTATCGCAGTCTTAGAAAAAGAATTTGTCAAGTTCAAGGTATGATGGCAAATTCCTGAACTCTTCCATCATTACAAAAAATTAAATCTCTTGGCAGCTGTTGGGAAGAACAATGGACATATCACTATAAAACATTATTAAAAAATAATTATAAAGCACCAGCTAAGTGAGAATGAGTAAGCATAGATGTACTCTTCAGGCTCTAGAAAAATTAAGTGAAAGCCCTGTTCATTTCGGTAAAGTTTATGTCTAGGAACCAACTGGTAGTCTAGATTTGCTTCCTTTGATAAGGCAGTGTTGTATTTGGGCTGCTTCCCAAGCCAAAATTGGTATTATTGTGGTATGGTTGATGCACATATTACTTAAATGCCCAGTACTCTTGCGTTGGTGTCCATTGCTTCTGTTTTCAATGCTGATTCCAAGAGTTGCTGGCAGTGTGCGAACAGCGCAAGAGAGGAAGAGTCTTAATTTGAAGTACATCACTCCCACGTGGAAGCCCTGTGAAACAGTGGAGCAAGCCAAGCAGGGGGTCACCTGTGGAGGGACTTCCTGCTGTAGAAGAGAGTCATCTATCATACACAAGGACTAAAGCTAGGTACAGTGAGTTTTCTAGGGTACAATTCTAGATAATTAAGGTAAGATACCAGTGATGGAGGAGAACCAGTGTCTTAGAACTCTGAAACCAAATGAGCTCTCAGAGTGGAAACTGAGACAAAGTTTTGTTGTTTTACAAAGATTGCTGTTGTTTTTTTTTTTTTTTTTTTTCTGTAGTGAAACAGTTGGTTTATCAATTGTTTAATAATACCTATGTTTCTGATTGTCCTAGTTTCAGCTGCGATAGAGTTAACTGTCTTCCTAGTAGCTGGTACAGTGCTATGTTTTGAGTTCAGTATGCGAAGAATGTTGATAACACTGATGTTTTCAGTTGTTGCTAAGTAGTGTTTAGTCTAAAGTCAAGGATTTTTCAGCTGCTCATGCCCAGCCAGCGAGAAAGCTGGAGGGGCACAAGAAGTTGGCACAGGACACAGCCAGGGCACCTGACCCAAACTGGCCAACAGGGTATTCCATACCATGGGACGTCACATCTAGTATAGGAACTGGGGGGAGTGGGGGCGGGGAATCGCCGCTCAGGGACTAACTGGGTGTCGATCTGCAGGTGGTGAGCAATTGCACTGGGCATCATTTGTACATTCCAATCCTTTTATTATTGCTGTTGTCATTTTATTACTGTTATCGTTATTATTAGTTTCTTCTTTTCTGTTCTATTAAACCATTCTTATCTCAACCCACAGGTTTTGCTTCTTTTCACAATTTTCTCCCCCATCCCACTGGGTGGGGGGGAGTGAGTGAGCGGCTGCGTGGTGCTTAGTTGCTGGCTGGGGTTAAACCATGACACTGACTTAGTTACTGAAAGCAAAATAATAATCCAAAGTACAGAGGCGCTTGAATACCATGTAAGACCACTGGGGAGCTTTAGGAAAGCAGGTGTTGATTATTTCAGGATTTAGACTGGAACAATCTGACTTTTAGGATGGCATCAGAGAAGATCAGAGAATTTCTTAAACTTACGTTATCCTTGGAGAGGCTGCTGTATAGTATATGCTGTTCTAGTTTGCTGTTTTGTTCTCAGATTCTTGTACCACTGGATTTTTTATTTCATTCAAACCGTTGTGCTTAATAAGCTTGCTTTAAAATCCCAGAGGAAGCTCTAAACCCAGATATTGAAAAGCTCAGACGACAGGCATTTGAATCATCCTCAGTATGCGGTCTGACCAGGAACTTTAGATTATCTCTGGGAGATCTAATGGATCTTTCATGCTCTAGTGTCTGCTCTGTCTTTTTCAGCTGCAGCAGAATCTATGTATTTGAGCAATTGAGGTCAGAGCTATCAGTCCAGCAGAACTTGGAGCCTGTAATCCCACCTTCCAGCTGTTCTCCTTGCTATTTGTATCAATGTTGTTAGTAGTCCACTAGATACAAAAAATAAAAGAACTTGTCCTCTAAAACTGGAAGTAGTTTGTTTTTTCTTTTCTTTCTATGGATTTCTCTTCTGAAACTTCCTGAAAGTTTTTTTTCCCAGTCTTTCTTTTACTTTGTTAGATATCATGCTATTGGTAAATATTGTCAGTTTTCTCTACTACAGTTTCCCTTATAGGTGTGACACAGATGTACCTTTGTTTCTCTCATCCATTAGCAATGTAACTTTGTACCTCATTTTCTAATGGAGTTGACCTAAGTGAATCCTGCTTTTTAACCTCTTTTAGAAATTAACTGTGGGCTGCAAAGCAGGTAGGTTTTGTTCTGTTCTGCATAAGAATAATAAGTTATAAATTCTCCATAAAGCTAGGTTTCTGGGTTTTGTTTGTTTGGGGGCTGCAAACAGGAAAGTTCACTATACTTCAGATTCTTCCTCTCTTCAAAATAGTGGTTCCCCATTGTCACAGATACCAGGTTTTAGTTTTAGTAGATGACACTCAGATCCTTGTCATATCATTTTCTGGTCTGGTGCCTGGAGTCCTTCTTTACTGTCAGTATATTTCCATGTGGTTGATTTATTTGTATCCAGTGGAATGCCATCATGTCTTTGCCCTCAGTGTAGCATTTTTAATCTGCTTTGAAAAGTTAAAAAAAAAAGTTGCAGTTGACAGCTGTGTGGCCACGATATCAGATGGTTTTGGGGGCTTAAAGATACATCTTTTAACAGACTATGTGAATATGTACATGGGAGTTAAGAATTTTATAGTAGGAACAACTTAAATCTAACAGGCATAAGCTTAATAGATTGACTGGTTTGGAAACTGAAGTAAGATATATTTGCATTTAAAATTCACACATTTACTCCAGTGTGGACTGGAATAACTTGTTCATAGTGAACTGAAATCACTGAAAACTTAAATCCTGGATTGCATTTTTCTAAATAAGATGCACTTCTTCAAATTAATCATTAATAACCATACCCATTAAGAAAGAGATCTTGGGATTATTGTTGCTGCTTCGCAAAACGCTAGTTCAGTTTCCAGTGTTAGCCAAAATAAGAAAATGGAAAGGTAGTCATCATTAGCAGTGGGGAACAAACTGGGAAAAATCACTACGGTAGTACATAAAGCCATGGTGCACTGAGAGCTGAATATTATCTGTGATTCTGTTTATGTCAGACAAGAAAAGGTATGGTAGAGTTAGGAAGGGTCCACAAAAAGATGAAATAAATAGTGAAAATTATAGTCACTTCTGTATGAGGAGAGATGTGCACTAGTTCAGCTTGGGAAAGAGAAAACTGAGAAGAGATACACAGAGGTCCCACGAATACTACACTGGCAGAGAACAGGGATACTTTTACATTTTTTTACTTTTTTTTTTTTTTTTTTAACACAAGGACTGTAGGGCACCAAATACAGTTTTTGGTCAAAAAAAAAAATAGCTGAAACAGGTCTCATCACTGGAGATAAAAGTGTGTTCAAAAGAGATTGTGCAAATGCAAGTTAATCAGGGGCTATTAAACACAGTTGCATGGGAAGCCCTTAAATTTTTTGTTTGGCAGAAACTGGGAGGGAAGGAATGTGTCTATGCATGTCACTTTTCTTGTCATCTTTCTCTAAAAATCCATTACTAACTATTTCTAAGGTAGGTATTCTTAACTTACATTGTGTTCTGTTGTTGCCTGATTGGCTTGTAAGGGAGACTGAGGTGGGTCTTGTGCTGCTCTGTTGCCAGTTTCTTTAAAGGAGGTGAACATAGTGCTTAGCTATGCAAATGTTTTAGAGGTGTTTGAGAGACAGACATTTTGCATTTGGAAAACTGAAGAACATAAGTATGAATGGCTGGTCTAAGATTCCTTTGAGTTTCATGCAAGGTTTAATTTAAGAGTCCAGTGTCTACTAGTTTCGTATACTTTTTGTTTGATATTAAGACTCTGTGTTCCAAGATAAGAGAGATGGCAGCTGATTTTGTTCAGTATGTACTGCAATATTGATAGTATGCATGGTAGGGTTGGCTTATGTTTATTTCTACCTCCTAACTTATTTTCATTTGATCTTCTATGGAATCCTCCAGTATGGTTTCTTGCAGTTTAGAAATTATTTCTAAAGATTAGTTTATAACTATTTTACTTCACATTTTTGTAGAAGTTCTGTTTAATAGATTTTTTTCTTACTGAGGTTTTTTGTGATCTCATTGTATTCCCCTCCTCCTTTTTTTTCTTTTATCAGTAACAAAAGTACAGATTTATTATCTTGTAGGGGATGGAAGGAGAATGTGGAGGGTCAGCCTTTGTCCTACAGGAGTCTTTATTGCTGCATTGTTTAGTTCTACACACTTGCGTAGTTCAGCAAATTTATCACATTTAATGTTCTTTAGAAACGGTCTTTTATGTTTTATACAGGAGAAGGAACTTTTAGCATTTAGAATGAGAGAAGTCCATAAGACTTTCTTCTCTCTATTTTTCTCTTTTTTTTTTATTTTCTAATTCTGCTTGTTGATTCTGGTTTGTCCTGTTGCAGGCGATTATCTGGCACAATAGATGTGATTGGACAGACCATCACTATCAGCAGGGTGGAAGGACGACGGCGTGCTAATGAAAACAGCAACATACAGGTTTTATACTGCAGATTTGCACATTGTTTTTGACTAAAAGACATTTTTGCTTTCCCCATAGCTTCCGATTAAAACATTTCATTGTGTATGAATGAGTAATGCAGAAGTAGCTTTAAGTTCAGGAAGAAAGTTGTGGCAGTTAATTGAAGTGTATTAAGAGGAAATATTTTATATATTTCAAAACATAAATGTTTTGGTACACTTCTTACTGAAAGGACATGAGCAATATTGCAGACTTAGAATCCAGGAGACAGCATTGACTCTGCTACATCTGTAAAGGACAGTGTTTTGTTTACTAAGTGACAAACATTTAAACTGTTCGTCTTTCCCCTATTCCTGCCAGACACTAATGCTGAAAGTGAAAGCCTCTTCGTATGCAGTTTGAGAAAGGCAGTCTTTTAAAAATAAGTTGTGAAGGAATAAATAGTTGATAGTACTTTTTTTTAATTATATTGTATTATTTTACCATAAAATGTAAGATAGTCTTTCTGATTTTAGTCTGTGGGCTTGGATTATCTTAAGAAAACAACTAAGTGCTTTAAGATTGAATACGCTTTTTCTCTCCTGACTTACCTGTGGAGAAGAATCAAGGTTGCTTAGTGCCCTAGCTGCATTTCTATGCCAACTTAGGTTAAGGTTAAACAATGAAAATAATAATGGATTGTAGTGCTTATATTGAAAACACTGCCATGTGTTTTTCAGCTGATCTCACTGTGTTTAAGTAATTTAAAGTCTTGGGTTTTTTCATGCTTTTCATATTGATTTTTAAAATATTTTCCTTTATATATAAATTTAAGATGGTGTTTTGGGCCATATTCAGATGGCTTTAATTCCCTCTCAGATCTTACGTTTGTTGTTCCCTGTTGGCTACTCTTAGACCCTCAGAGGTACTTGGCAAGTATGGGACACTGAACGTAGAGATGCAGATAGAACTTAAACCATCTGAATGTGGCTCTTTAGGTGCATAAGTAATACTTTCCTGTTGTAGTAACTGGAAAGAGAGGAAACCTAACTTCTACCCTTTTTACATAGCAATTGTAACTATAGTTTGATATTTTACAGGTTCTTTCAGAACGATCTAATCCTGAAGTAGACAATTTTACCAAGCCACCTCCATTTTTCCCTCCAGGAGCTCCACCTACCCACCTTCCACCACCTCCTTTCCTCCCACCCCCTCCAACTGTCAGTACTGCTCCACCTCTGATTCCCCCACCAGGTAAATATCCTGCACTACACAGGATGTGAAAAATGAGAGATGCATTCTCATCAAATGCTTGTAGATATGAATTAAAGATGGCGCATTCCATACACATTTGGCTATATGTGCAGAATTTCAAAATTTTGTGTTCTACTTTTTTCTTAAATATTTCTGTGAGGCAGAAACAAACTTTTGTCTTTAATTTCTCAGTAAACATAATCCCAAGTAGTAAATAATTACCTAAAGACTAAATGTTGGATCCTATGTCCTTGAAAATGTTTGAAGTGAGAAGCTATTTTCTGCAATTCAACTACAGTTAATGCTATTGAGAGGTACATGTTAACAAATCATTCTACAAACTTTTGAACTAAAAGTATGGCATACCATGAATTTGTGTCAGAAGTTGGATTCTCTGATGTCTAAGGTCAAAGCAGCAACAGAAGGTTTAATTCCCCTTTGCCCTCACAGTATGTATGAATTCCCAGAAGTCTGATAAGAATTGCATTTGTGCCGTATCCTTTCTTTCAGTCAGAGGTCTTATTAGCACCTGATGTTTTTATCCAGTGTCTGTGAATCTTAGAGGAATCAAAGCTCTTTGAGAGCTCTTCTCATTGTTAAATCTGGTTTGAAATTTACTGGTATTTACTGAATATTTACTGAAACTTGGTATTTATGAAAATTTACTGGGGGAAGAGTCATGGGCATTTGCACAAATAGTGCAGTTACATGAGCATTGTCATTTTAAGGAATTAAGTTCAAATGGACTTAGCAAGAAGCTAAGACGAATGGTGAGTGAGAAATGAAAATAGGTGGAGGAACTTTGGGGAGTATTTGAGTAGGAAAGTGAAGGATTTGTTTGTAGAAGAGCCTGATTTAAGGTGGAGCCCCTTTCCTTACTTTCTCCTTTTGTTCCTTGGATTCTTTTGCTTGACTTGTTCTGAAATCCTGCTGAGCAGTTTCTTTGCTATTCTGTTTGCATAGGGAATCTTTTAGAAGTTTCTCCGTTAATACATGCATAAGCAAGGAAGTAACATTATTATTTCTGTGCCACAGCTTTGTGTGGGGTTTTGTAGGGTTTAAATCCTCATAGAAGAGGTTGCTTTCTTCAGTTGCTGATGATGATTTTAAAACTATTAACTCCTGCTGCCTGGCAAGCTCTGGCTTTCATCTGAGATTGTCATACGCAAAATGATTGCAACCTAGAAAACAGAAGAGATTTAAAGATGAAATAGTTCTGTGCCCTTTTCCATGCTTTTGTGCATAAGTATAAAAAATAGGGTGTCTGAAGAGAGAATATGCTACTGCTCTGGCAATTTTGTGATGTTTTCTTACTGCATGGGGGACAGAAAGGAGAAGAACATGATGCTAATGATAACACTGGTTTTAAGCTGGATTAAAACCTTTCTGATAAAATAATATAGGTAATGCATTGCAGGTTTTTAGAAAGTAATTATTTTAATTGTAATTGAGGTACAGAAAAGGTGATCTAAGTTGTGTTTTATTAAAAGAATGAGAGGAACCCCTACAGACACCCCAAATGCACTTTGCGCAGGGGTGTCATATAGGTGTACTGGACTGTTCTTATGAACCCCCTCACCTGTTGAGCTTTTAAAGGTGAAAGAAATCTGCACGTGTTACAGATTTAGCAAGCAGATTTGGCTTTAGTCTTGTGGTTTACAGACAGGTTTATGACATACACTTGTTCAGAAGGTCTCCTTCAACATCCTTCCGTGCTTCAAGTAGATTTGAAAATAACGATTAAGAGCTGTGGATTTGGTTTCTTCAGGCCTGTGTTTTAATTGTGCTGTTGCCAGCTCTTTATCTTCAAAGCTGTTCCTAAAATAGAATCTGCCATCCCTCCTAGGTTCAATGGAGGAGGAGGAAAAAAACTACTCTTACCCAATATTAAACCGGGACTACTTGCCAGAAAATTTAAGTATTCCAAATATAAAACATCCTCCAAAAGCCCCTTTGAAAAAGGATCTTGCTTTGAAGTTAGATCTCTTGTTCTGAATTCATTCACTCTTGCAATTCAAATCTTTTTTGAGGAACGAGTCCTGGAACGATTCAAAGGGCCAAATGCAGAAAATTTTCCTGTACTCCTAGGAGATAACTGGCTGTGGCAAAAAATTTGTTGTTTTTTGTTTGCTTGGTTTATTGCTATGTTGGAGTAATTTAAATCTAAAGAAGAAAGTGGATGCTTCTGTTTAACAGGCTTTAAAAGTTGTTTTACATGTTTTCGTTTAAGAGCATAGTTAAAATGTGACATGTATTTGTGATATTAAAGAAAAAATTCCTCTGAAGTATTGAGCTTCTGTTGCATAGCTTTGGGAAGTTTGACTGCCTAGACTTACACCAGGGCTTAGCAAGTAACTGTACCTCTGCTCAGGCCCAGCAATCTAAGTGTGTACTTTTTATCTTGTGATAAATGAGAGAGAATTTGACTTAGTTTATCCTGTGTCAAGAGTTTTTACACCAAGTTGAGTTATGTTACATTGCTGCGGGCTATTAGACAGTTCAGCTAATTTGCAGTATGTTGTTAAGCTGTGGCAATGTTACCACATTTGATTCCTTATTCTGCAAGCGAAGCACATGTGGCATTGCTTTCCTTTAGTAAAACCTACTTGGTTTTCTGTAAATATTTACCAGCTTTGAGTTAGTAGGATGTTATACAATGTCCTGAAAGCAATTTTGAGCATATTAGGTAAAATGCTGCACTAATGCCATTTGGATTGCTTTTGACACATGAGTCTGAATATTTAGGTTTAGGCCAGGTGTATCTTTGTGGCAGTACAGTGTGTTGTAGGGACGTGACGTGATCTGTGCTGAGGCACCTTCTTGCACTGGTACTCAAGTTTAGTCCCTACATTGCAAGAAATGACTCGATATTTCAGCGTCTTTTTTTTCTTTTCTCAGAAGTAATTGGCTGATGACACTTCAAGTATATTTTCATACATTGCGTTAGAAGAAGGCAAAGGAGTGAGGAGTTAAGAAATTTTTAATTTTCCATTAACTAAGGTTTATAATTTTTTTGTTTCTTGTTTTCTGTCACATTTGTGTGTTAGTGAAGAAGGTGAGGAAGAAAATTTTGGTTAGATCTTTTTAGTGATACTTGCTAACTTGGAATATAGAAGATCCATTATGATACCATCAAGTAAATTAGCTTCTGTCTTAAAATTATATAATCATTAATCATGACTTTTTTAATGTTCTTAAAGGTTTTTGAGGAAAAAACGCCTGTGTGGCTTTTTTAGTATAATACCCTGTATTAATGAATTTATTCAAATTATTTAGATGTTTGGTCTCTGGGTATTAGTCGTATTCAGTCTGTCTTAATTTTGCTTGAATGGCTCTCAAGTGAAATTTTTCATTTGGCTTTTAATCTTGTGATGAGATTTTTATTTGTATTCCTGCACAAGATAAAATTCTGAGGAATATATTAATTGTTTAATCAGAATTTCTTCCTTTTTGTAAAGAATATTAGCTGATGGCTTTCCACGCAGTTCTGTGCACAGTGCTGAGCTGTGTTCAGTGCTAACAATATATTGTTTTTAGTGGAGGAGCTGAAATTTTTTTAAGCATAAGGTAGAGCTAATAAATTAATCAGTTTGAGAGAACTTCTGATGCTTTTCTTGCTAATGTTCTTAACATTGCTGTTAAGAGGTATTTTTTATATATTTTTATGTATGTATTTTCTATGTTGTAGGCTCATGAAGAATCTGTTAAGATGGATAATTAAAAAAAAAAAAAATAGAAAATACTTCAGCTATGCAACAGTTTGAGTTCCCAGTCTTCCTTTTCTTTCAGAAATTTTCATTAGGAGTGTTTGGTCTTTTAAATGTTACACTCTCAAACTTTTTATGGTGTGAATTGCAGTGTTCTTAACGATGACAGTGCACATTGGAAAGCTTGTGTGCTGGTGAAGAGAAAATGGATCATGCAGTTTAGAAATTTGGCTTTGGGGGTTCACTGTCTCCTGTCTTATATTTTGGCTCTGAGATTAGATTTTAAGTCTTCAGGATTGGACAGCAGCCTTAATTTTGTTTCACAATTTGTTTAATCCTGTAGGATTGATGCTGGTAAGAATTCATGTTAGTGAAATCACCAGCAATTAGTGAACACTGATATTGATGACTCTTCCTCAGCTGGCATATTCCTTCATTCTGTCGTTCTGCCAAGGCAATTTGGGAGCAGTTGGCATTTCTAGACACTGTAATATGTAGATGTAGTTAAATGTTGCTGCCATGCAATAGTCTTTTAGTTCTAGTGTTGAACTAATGATATATACATAAAATCAGTCGTGCAGTGGCCATTACATCTAGGATATTCTCTGAATGATGAAGTCTGGAACTTGAATGAGAAGGGTTTTAATTTAAGTGGGTCTGGCTGCTGTTCTTTCTGGATGTTTATTCAGTTACGGCAAAACTGATGAAAGCACTTGGCTAAGTTTTCTGTTCTCTCCCCCCCGCAAAGTCTTGCAGTGAGTTGTCAGATTGAAAGTACTTGTTTTTTAATGGAAGCGGAGTTGCTCATAGCTGAAAGAGCTTTATGCCTGGTAAAGTAGTCTATTTTCTGATGACACTGTTTTAGCCCAGTTTATTATTTTCATGTAACAGTGTTTTGTGTGTTCAATTGAGATGAAGCTAGTTGTTTGCAAAGTATGAAAAGATAATGTCCTTTAAAGTATATTAATTATTTTTACCTTTTAATCATTCCTTTCCTAATCGAGTAAGATAGGTTTATATGTTGAGGCAGTATATTTTGTTAGGTCAGCTAACTTTTAGTTCGGAACAATTTCTCAGCTTTTACTTAGATTTGTAACAGCTAAGCTAGGTTTGAACACCAGAAAAGTTAGAACAGCTTTTGAATGTGTTTGTATTAAAGCATGCTCCTTTCTCAGATATTTACAAGAAAATGGAGTACCGAACAATTTTTTTCCCTCCAAGTAGCAACTGTATGATTAATTGCAGTGTGGCATAGCATTGACTGAAAAGTCTGTAATGCTTACTGTTGCTAGAATATTTTGTCCATGTGGACCTACTATTTCCTATACTAAGCTATTAAAGGTCAGAGGCCAATTGTGTTTCCTTTCATCCAGTCATGGAATATAGAATCATAGAATGGTTTGGGTTGGAAGGGACCTTAAAGATCATCTTGTTCCAAAACCCCTGCCATGGGCAGGGACACCTTCCACTAGACCAGGTTGCTCAAAATCCCAGCCAACCTGGCCTTGAACACTTCCAGGGATGGGGCATCCACAAATTCTCTGGGCAACCCATTCCAGTGCCTCGCCACCCTCATAGTGAAGAACTTCTTCCTTACATCTAATCTAAATTTACCCTCTTCCAGTTTAAAGCCATTACCCCTTGTCCCATATCTACATGCCATTGTAAAAAGTCCCTTTTCAGCTTTCTTGTAGGCCCCTTTTAGGTACTGAAAGGCTGCAATAAGGTCTTCCCAGAGCCTTCTCTTCTCCAGGCTGAACAACCCCAATTCTCTCAGTCTGTCTTCATGGGAGAGGTGCTCCAAGCCCTCTGATCATATTTGTGGCCCTTCTCTGGACTCACTCAACAGGTCCATGTCCTTCTTATGTTGGGGACCCCAGAGCTGAATGCAGTACTCCAGGTGGGCTCTCATGAGAGAGGAGCAGAGGGGGAGAATCACCTCCCTCGACCTGCTGGTCACACTTCTTTTGATGCAGCCCAGGGTATGGCTGCAAATGCACATTGCCAGATCATGTTGAGCTTCTTGTCAATCAACACCCCCAAGTCCTTCTGCTCAGGGCTGCTCTAAACCCACTCATTGCCCAACCTGTATTTGTGCTTGCGATTGCCCTGACCCATGTGCAGGACCTTGCACTTGGCCTTGTTGAGCTTCATGAGGTTCACATGGGCCCACCTCTGAAGTCTGTCAAGGTCCCTCTGGATGGCATCCCTTCCCTCCAGTGTGTCGACCGCACCCCACACCTTGGTGTCATTGGGAAGCTTGCTGAGGTTGCACTCAATGTCACTGTCCATGTTGCCAATAAAGATGTTAAATAGTGCTGGTCCCAATACCAACCCCTGAGGAATGCCACTTGTCACTGTTCTCCAGTTGGACATCGAGTGTTGACCACAGTTCTGAGTGTGACCATCCAGCCAATTCCTTATCCACTGAGTGGTCCATCTGTCAAATCCATGTCTCTCTAATTTAGAGGCCAGGCTGTCATGCAGGGCAGTGTCACACGCTTTGCACAAGTCCAGGTGAATGACGTCAGTTGCTCTTCCTTTATCCACCAATGCTGTAACCCCATTGTAGAAGGCCACCAAATTTGTCAGGCATGATTTGCCCTTAGTGAAGCCATGTTGGCTGTCACCAATCGCCTCCTTATTTTCCATGTGTCTTAGCATAGTTTCCAGGAGGATCCACTCCATGATCTTGCCAGGCACAGAGGTGAGACTAACTGGCCTGTAGTTCCCCAGGTCTTCCTTTTTTCCCTTTTTAAAAATGGGGGTTATGTTTGTTTTCCCTTTTCCAATCAGTGGGAACTGCCCCGGACTGCCATGACTTCTCAAATATGATGGATAGTGGCTTAGCCACTTCATCCACCAGTTCCCTTAGGACCCGTGGATGCATCTCATCAGGTCCCATGGACCTGTGCACCTTCAGGTTCCTTAGATGGTCTTGAACCTGGTCTTCTCCTACAGTGGGTGGTTCTTCATTCTCCCAGTCCCTGCCTTTGCCTTCTGTGATTCAGGTGGTGTGGCTGGAGCACTTGCCAGTGAAGACTGAAGCAAAAAAGTCATTGAGTAGCCCAGCCTTCTGCATGTCCTGTGTAACTAGGTCTCCTGTTTACTTCTGGAGAGGGCCCACATTTTCCCTAGTCTTCCTTTTATAACCAATGTACCTATAGAAGCTTGTTGTCCTTGACGTACATCCTCAGCCAGATTTAATTCTATCAGGGCTTTAGCTTTCCTAAGCTGATCCCTGGCTGCTCAGACAATTTCTCTGTATTCCTCCCAGGCTACCTGTCCTTGCTATTTATATATATATATTATTTAAATAAAAGCAAATACATGCTATGGGATGTTACTTTCCTTCTGGATAATAAACATTTTAGGGTTAGGGATTTAATTCTAATCTTGAGACCCAGAGTTATTCATCATTATTTTTGTCTCTGATTAAATAAGTTCCTGAAGAATAGGAGTTTAAATAAAAAGCCACATTTCACAAGCTTTGCATAAAATCTTAACAGTTGGTATTAATGTGAGGTCTTGATCTGCAGACACAGAAAATAAGTTATTATTCTTCTTGATCATGTATGTGGTGATAGCTCAGTCTGATTTTAGATTGACAGATAATAAACATAAACTGTTACTTTAATGATACATTATTTGTTTTCTTTTCAGGTATACCAATAACAGTGCCACCACCAGGTAAACTTGCTTAGAATTTTTTTTCACATTTGGTTAAGAAATGAAAACTTAACTGATGTGCAACTTATCAACTTCCTTTTAGTTACATAGATAAAAGTTCATAAATACAAAACTGTATGTGTAGATGTAGGCTCAGTTATTCTGACAGGTTGTTGAGTAGTGGACCTAATCAACCAGTTTCTTAGATGTGTGCTTCCTTCTTTTCTTTCCATTCCTTTTTTTCAGCTATGCAGAAAATAGTTGTGATTGTTGTTTATTAAGTATTGTTACATACTCAGGAATTTTCCTATGCTTCTAAATTATTGTATTTTGAAGAATGATAAGGTATTTGGGTTGAAGCATTGATAATATTATATGTTTAATACTCTACTTTTGTTAAGCTGGAAAGTAGTTCTCAGTCTTAAAAAATAAAGCTCATTTACACAGTGAGAAACAATTTTTGCGTTATACTCTCTGGAATTTGTTTGCCATTTTATGCTTAGCTTAGTTCTTTTATGTGTTTATGGTTTTTTGGTTTTTGTTTTTTTTTTTATCCCCCCCCCCCCCTCACCTAACTTATTATTACAGGCTTTCCACCACCACCTGGCGGTCCTCCACCTTCCCTCATACCCACAATAGAAAGGTGATTATCTGTTTGAAGTCTTATAAAGCAATATATCAGTATTCTGTAACTGAAATAATTAGTAAGGACTCTTACTCCACACAGTGTTTTATGGATTTTATCTGGGAGTGGGGAGATAGTTTCAGATTTTTACAGTATTTTTACAGAAGTGTTACTAGTCTCAGCTGTCTGACAGTATTCTTTTGAGTAGGTTACTTGACCACTTATTATTTTAGTTGAGTTATGACACTATATCAATGCCAAGACTTAGGAACAAAGTCAAGGTAATGATTGTTGAAGTATTCTTTAGTAGTCTGAAGGCTTATTTAAGTGAACCGTATACTTGTCAGCTACTGTATCCTTTTCTATAAATGCAAATGAACAATTTGGCTACAGATTCAAGCCCTCATAAGCTATAGGAAAAGCCAGAGTTCCATAGAATCCAAATTTTTATTTCTACTGTGTGTGTTCTAAGTGTTCAGCTTTAATAGGCCTAAGTATTTTTTCAATACCTTTTTTTATATACATGTTTATGTGTAAATATATTTTATTTATATTTTATATGTAAAAGGAAGAAAAAATAGTTGGCCAGCACAATCCTTGAAAAGTATTTATATTTTGGTAGAGGCCAAAACCAGGTCATATACAAAGCTCACTTCAGAAGATGGTGCAAGCCTCTTACCAGTCCTTTGGATTTCACTGAAGGAAGATGCACACATCTGTTCCTTTGAAATTGAAAATTCTATTAACATATACGCTACAGGATGATGATGGTAAATCTCTGAGAAAATCCTCATCTGATTTAATTCAGGAAAAACCCTAACTAGTTGCATTTGATGTGTATGAAAGTAAATTTATTATTTCATACTGACATTTGCTGTGAGTGCTGCTTCTAACTGTTAAGCAGCAGTCATTGCATTTACTTGTAGTGAATATTTATATAGTTTCTGAAATATGCTGTGCAAAAATCAAGTTTGTTGTGGAACCTAGGAGCTAAATCTCATACTTTTAAATGCTAAGGTGTTGCATTGGCCTTTCATTATCATTGGTTTTGTTTTTTTTTTAAGCTAACCCAAAACTTATTTCTTAATGTTAAAGTGCCTTCAAGAACAGAAATAACACTTAGGTTAAATACTGCAAAGATAATTCATTCAAGTTACATAGGAAGTGCTAAAAGTCATGAAAGAATTACATATATATGAATTATGCCTTGTGCACATATCATCCTTTTTAACCTTTCTGGTTTTTACCTACTTGAGTTGGCTACCACTGAAAGAAGTCAGCCTAGAAAATGTGTAGCTAATTTAATAGTTTATTTATAGAACTACACATTTGAAGTCCACCTGTTCTTAGATATGCTCACATACCTAGTTTTTAACAGAAAGAATGAGAATGGCTTCATTCATGAATGAACCACTTTCAAACAATTGGAGATTAAGTTCAGTATCTGTGCAGAAACATCTTATGATACAAGAAATATTTGAAATAGAAAATTCATTGAAAATACAAAAGAACAGCTTTGATCATATGGATTTTTTCTGTTTTAAATTTTAAGAAGAGAGAATTCTATTTTTACCTCCTGCAGTAAAACATGAAATATACATGTTCATAGACAGCTTCCTTAATTAGTAATGCTCAAAATGGAGGACTTAAATCCATTTATAACAAACACTTTGTTTTAGTCTGTATGGTGGTAAGAATTCAGGGGAACAATATTAAAAGTATATGTTTATTGATGGAGGTAGCTTTGATGGTAAAACGGGATTGTTACATGTATTTTCAACAGTGGACATTCTTCTGGCTATGATGGTCGTTCTGTTCGTGCATTTTCATATGGCAGTGGTGAGTAAGCTTGCTGGCTTTGAAAATTTTGACTAGTGCTGTATCAAATTGTTTGATATACTTACCAGAATTTTAGCTAAGAGACTAAACAGGCTCTTTCAGTAATTCATTATGAAAGTTCGTTGCCTATCATTGTGAACAGATACATGCTGTTGCAGATTTAACAGTTGTTGGTAAATACTATTGTTTTGCATACTTATTTTTATGCCAAGACCAACCATTGAGAAATCCTGAGTGATGTACCTCACCTTTGAAAAACTGTTTGTCTAAGATACTATAATCTTCAACTATCCTGTTGCAAAGTCAGTCTGGGGGATTTTTGGTTAACGTCATGGAAAAAATCTGAAGCTGAAAAACATCACTTTCTGGTTTTATAGTAAGAGCGAACCAAAATAGAGGTTTCATTCTGTGCAATTAAAAGGACATCCACAGAACTTACAGTGAGTTTAGAACTGTTACCTAGCACAGCTCTGCTTCTTGAGTTAAAAGAGTGATAGAAATACAAAGATGTCAGCTTCTTCCTGACCTAGTCCAAATTGGGAAGATAAACATAGAATGACAGAATGGTTTGGGTTGGAAGGGACTGTCAAAGATCATCTAGTCCAACCCCTCCCCACCATGGGCAGGGACATCTTCAACTAGATTAGGTTGCTCAAAGTCCTGTCCAACCTTACCTTTAACAGTTCCAATGATGGGGCATCCACAACTTCTCTGGGCTACCTGTTCCAGTGTCCCACCATCCTCTTCATAAAGAATTTCTTCCTATGTCCAGTCTAAACCTACCCTTTTTCAGTTTAAAACCATTGCCCCTTGTCCTGTCACTGCAGGCCCTGGTAAAAAGTCTCTCTCCTTCTTATAAGCTCCCTTTAAGTACTGAAAGGCAGCGATAAGGTCTCCCTAGAGCCTTCTCTTCTCCAGGCTCACCAAACTGAACAACCTAGTTGTTCCCGCTCTCTGATGATTGTGGCCCTCCTCTGGACCTGCTCCAACATGTCTTGTACTGGGGGCCTGAGAACTGGATGCAGTACCCCAGGTGGCATCTCACGAGAGCACACAGAGGGAGAATCACCTCCCTCAACCTGCTGACCATGCTTCTTTTGATGCAGCCCAGGATATGATTGGCTTTCTGGGCTGCAAACTCACATTGGTAGCTCATATTTAATTTTTTGTCCACCATTACCCCCAAGTCTTTCTCTACAGGGCTGCTCTCAATCAATTCATCACCCAGTCTGTATTGATGTTGACAATTGCCCCAACCCAGGTGCAGGACCTTGTGTGTTGCCAATCACTGCCTCTGCCTTCAGTGCACCTGCCATCCAGACCCATGCCTAGTGCCTTTTCTTCCTGCTTTTTCTGTTTCCTTGCTCTGTGTTCCTTTGGACCCTAGGTGCTGGGAGGAGAAATTGTAGGGAAAGTTCTGTCCCGTTCCAGTGATACATAATTCAGCACAGACCAAATGTCCAGATAATGTATCTCCCAAATGTTCATAAGTCTTTAGAGAAGATATACAGTGACATTTTTGAATGGCTTGTAATTTCTTGAAGTTGGAGCAGTTTGAAAGGATCCTCATCAGTTATCAAGTGTTTGCTTTCATGCATGGAAGCTTGTTATGTTTTCAAGAATTCTTGATGTGGGCAAACAGCTGCTTTATGCTAACTACTTTTTTAGCAATAATTGAACTGTGTTTGCTAAAGTTTTAGAAGAATGTAAAGCTGAGGCAGACAACTAAGATACCCAAGTGACTATTTTGCTGAAGCTTCAGTATCCAAAGCCATGCAGAATATCATAAGGAAAGCAGTCTTACAGTGATTAGTATGTATATTGCATCTAATATGTAGTCTCCAATTTAGAATGTTTTTCACCTTGGAATCTCTTTTGTTAGAATTTGCTATTCTGTCAAGTATTGTCAGGGACACAGGAATGTTTCCAAGTTTTATGTTGACCTTCAGAGGTGATGGCATGCTTATGTTGTTGCAGTACCAATATTTGAAAGATGACTGTCACTGTGATCATGCCAACATTGAATGTGAATTTACTCAGCAGGGTTAAAAAATTATGTTTGCCTTTGTATGGTTATGGAGACCAAGGAGCATAGTCTGCTCCAATCTTCCCAGTATAGCTGGCATCCCTGTTGTGGCAAAAGCTTTCATCTTTGCTGCACAAAGCAAATTGTCTGTCTCTAAGCTGTGCCTGTCATACGGATTTTTGGATCTGTAGAGGCTCAGTGGCATTTTATCGCTGCTGTTCATCCTGGCTAGCACCTTACTCTCATAGTCTCTGTCTCACAACATGATTGCTGGTCAGTATTTTACCAGTGCTCACTGTGCATCAGAACTTAGGTAAACTGAGGGCTTAGGGTACAGATGATCATTTTAATTAAGAATCGCAAAGTATATTTATTTAATAGTTGCTTTGGATGATAGCACTGAATCTCCAACCCGTTGTCTTCTTTGCCAGTCTGTATGTTTCATGACTTTGTCAAAATTGCGGGGGAAGATGAGCATATGGAATACATGGCAAAGAATACCAATCTTGATTAAGGCTCTAGCCTTTCTTCTGCCTATTCAAATTGCTAATCTCATGCCTTGGTGTCTTTTCCATAGTGGTCAGGCATGTTACCCACTGCAAGCCCATTAGGAAGGTTGCATAGTAAAATAATTTTCTTAACTTGTAGCTTCAAGAATACTTATTTTGTCTTTGTGTTCTTCCACTGCATCAATGCAGTTTCTTCAATTTGCTGTTAAATCTTTACACAATTCAGTGCTACCTTTGCCATCAGATCTTTGAATTTTATTGATCTGTCAATATATGGCACTGTTTGGTCTGCCAGTGAAGCCATTTGTATGCTTGTTTGCTTTTTCCTCAAGCATTTCTCTGTTCTGTGCTCTACATGTTCTTTATATCTTATGAACTTGCAAGAAATTTAGTGTTACAGAAACAGTTTGAGAGTCAGTATTTTTTGAGGCACAAAGAAGGTGTATTAATAGTTTGCCTTAGACTGGGACACCATGCAGCTTTTAAATTTTTAAACCATCTCCAAAGCAGAACTTAAGTCTCCAAAACTATTGATTGTTCAAAGGTCCCTCTCTTCCTGTTTTAGAAATAAAATGAGAGTTAAACTTCGGAAGTGTCCTTCTTTTTGTAGAAGTTATTAGAATAATCCATGTAGAAATACTAAAAGTGACAAATTACTTCATTCTAAGTAGTAAACACAGAGCACCAATTCATATTAGAAAGTAAGCTTCTTGTGTGTTGTGAATAACTACTGGTGAAAATCTAGATACAGAAATGCGCAGAGTATCAAGTAACTGGTTTATCTCAGGTTATTGGGATGGAAATGACAGACTTTTGTCTGATGAGAATTACTGCAGATGTGAGGGAGTAACCAAAATTTATTGTAAAAGTTTATACTATCATTAATAATTGTTTTGTAATATACATTTAAAGTTAAACTTAAGTTTACACTTTAGATCAGAATATTCTGGCAACCAGTGACTCGTAGACCATACGTATATTGTTGACATAGTGGCAAGTCAAGGAAATTAACAGTCTTTAAAGTCCAGCTGGTTTTTTGCTATTTCTGGCTGCTTTCCTTAGAAGAATTTCAGGTTTTGGCAGTATAATGAACAACATACTATTGTATTAGGATATTTTTTTCTGTTAACTCCTCATTTTGTCTGTAGCCCTGAAGTGAAACAGTGTCAAGCATTTTGTTAGAGGCAAAACTTTGTATAAATGCTTTTTAAAAGAATTACAATGCTTTTCATTGCAAATGTATTTTAACAATGAAGTGTTTTTTCCTGCTCCACTGCCTGCTCAAAAGGTCTTTTGTATTCCTCCTTTGGACGCTTGGCAAACTGCTATCTTAAGCTTCTGCCAAAGCTTTCTGGGGTGGGCATACCCCAGACGTTGTAGGCAAGGTAGTCTGAACATAGCTGTCAGGAGGAGCCACTGGTTTTATAACTTGGCAGTATTAAATACAGCATCAATTACTCACTTTACATTGTTCAGTGGATATTTATGTTAATTATATATTAATGTCTCTTTGTGACACCATGAAGTCAAGTGAATATTGTTCTCATATTATAGATAATGAAGTGGAACTCAAAACAAACGATTTATTGAAGGCTATGTTATCATTGGCTAGCAAAGCAGATAAGCAGAAAGTGGGAAGTCCTCTGTACTGTAAGTCCACTAGAGAGTGCTGTTTCCAGTTAAATACTACAGCCCTTATTTTTCATTAACAGAATGCATTCATGGGGCTTCTGGAGAGGGAGGGCAGGACAGAACAATTGGGGTATTAAGAGTAGTAGTTATTTATTACATCGGAGTTAGCAGAAAGCAATGGAGAAGCATGTCCCTTCTCTCTTTCCATTGCTGATTACCTAAAAAAGTGGTTAGATGGTGTTGTGACTTCCTTCTTAACTTAAGCGTATCATCTTTTAGATTAAGAAAAAATGCTTAATTTTCTGAAACTATTATATTTTAGTGGTAATAGTGGCTGTGCTGAATATTCATTAGAAATGGTATCTTACAAAGCGTAAGTAGGAGCGTTATTTCTTCTCCCCAGAATGAACTTGTGGAATTTATTTCTAAAGCTGCTGTTACATCTGTAATCAGAAAAGTATGGCAAAGCACAGTAAATGTAAATTAGTGAATGAGAACTTTGTAACTCAAGTATTTTAAATACAATGATTTAAAAGACAAAACATAAAAATAGTAGCATCTAAATATAAAGATAGAAGCATCCTTTTTCTTTGTTTTTCTGAACTGTACTCTCAGAGCCACTGAGTTTCGAAGGTAGTTTTGTTTTCTGGTTGTTTTTGTTTTGTTGTTTCCCCCAAAACAAAGCCATTTGACCACGTAAAATCAGATTCTTTCAGCAAATCTTTGCACAATTTTTTTTTTTCCCAAAAGGATTTAGGCAGTCTTTGTGGTGTATATCCTGGTTCTGTACATCTTCATAACGAGTATTTAAATGAGTGCGAGAGGCCTTTATTAGCATCATGGAAAAAATGCAGAGTTTGCTCAGAATTAACTTCTGTGTGAAAGGGGAAGATTGAAAAATGTCATTGGAGGAGGCTGACAAATGTCTCTGTTTTCATGCATAAGTAGTATTACAGTTTTCATATGGTATGTGATTTTGTTCTTTCTAATACCCGCGTCTTTTTCTTTAGTCACCTTTCCGCACTTTGCAGGTCCTGCTCCTTCGTGGTCTAGTCTTATGGACACCAGCAAACAGTGGGATTACTATGCACGAAGAGAGAAGGATAGGGAACGTGAGAGAGAGCGATCCCGAGATCGGGATCGGGACCGGGACCGAGACAGAGATCGAGAACGTACCAGAGACAGGGAGAGGGACCGAGATCACAGTCCAACTCCAAGTGTATTCAACAGGTTAGTGAAATGTCTTAAGCATGCTGTAACTCTGCTCAAAACCCTGTGTCTGTGTTGTTAAATAGTGTACTTCAACATCAAAATCTAGTGTTCAGGTCTATATTCCAAAAAGCTAGAGGGTGTGGCTTCTTCCCCTTCCCCCTTTTCTCTTGGAAACTATAATTAAATTTCTAAATGTAGAACAGAACTGTAAAAACAACAGTATACATCCAAACTCGTCATAGTGCTTTACAGGTTAAAGGTGTGATTTAAGCCCTGTGTAGGAGTGAGATATCCAGCTCTCTTTGACATCAGTAGTTCTAGAAAAATCTATAGAAGTACTAAGTGAATCTTAGTTGGCAATTCAGTGGTAAGAGCAATGTGGTACAACATTTGACCTTAATGAATGGTGTTATTAGCTGCTAAAATGGTTAGTTTGGTCGTTAGCACTGGCTGGATAATAATCTGTCCTATCTTTTTTAAAACTATTATTTCAAGGTCAAGAACTTTTTTTCATTTTCAGGCAGATGACAAAAATAATGGCAGATAACTTTATTTGGCTTTCAACCCTCTAATTACTTTAAAAAAAAAAAAAAAACAGAAAGAAAAAAGCTGCAACTGTTGTGTGGTTCACGTGCACAAGTACAAAGCATTCAATGTTGAGCTCACTATGACTCCATAGAGCAGAGGTCTATTGGCTTGCCAGATTTATCTAAACTTACTTTGCTCATTACTTGCTAAGTATTTTGGTGTAAACATCCTGATGCTTTTCTCAGTGTTTTTTGTTAAGTTTCAAGTTTTGTTGAATATATATATACATTAGCTATTAGGTGGATGGTTTTTACCAGTGGTGTTACTCTGTGGGGAATGAGAGCACCCGGAATCAACATTACTTCAGTTGAGAGATGATATTTTTTGCATGATGATTCTTAGCTGAACACCCAAACTGGGTGCAAGATAGGGGTTTTTCCGTGTATGCTGATGTGATGATGCTGTCTCCCATGTGCATGTGCTATGATTCCAGGGTCGGTTTCTGAGAAATCAAGATCAATCTAAACATCTGTTTCTCAGACAGCTTGATTGAAGGCCAGAAAGAAGCCTGGTCATTCAAGGGTGCTTGAAATGAACCTTAATAGCTTCCAGGCCTTGAGAAATGTCTGTGCTGCTGCCAGAGTTATCTGTAAAGGAGGGGGAAGAGCAGGCCTCAACTTTTTTATGTGACTAAATTATCCACCATCTGTAGCAAAGCTGTTGCCACATGGCTGTGTAAGAAAACAGGAGGCCCTTAACTAGTATAAGTTGGTTTGGGAGTCACAGAGAAGGTGAGAGAGGCTTAAGACAGAACATGCAGACATAGTGTTTTTTAAGAAGGTTTATTTTCAGTTCTGTGCATTTAAGAAAATAAAATGAAATGAGCTATGAGGAAGAGAATGAGAACTATTTTAGAGAATGCAGATGCATTACTTAAATTTAAATTCCCTTTGTTTAAACTTTGTTCAGGCGACACTGTGGTGGGATTTGGAGTAAGCATCATCTTTAGCTTTTTACTGTTCAGCAATTACTGCTTTCAACATTTTTAGCAGTTCTTTTCCAGATAGGCTGTATTTGTGCTATAGTATTTCTTAAAATTGTAAGAAAATAGGAATTATTTTTATTCTATCAGTATAACCAAAATGTGGTTTAAAAAGGAGCCTTCAGCTGTCTTTATATTCTGTTCTACCTTTACCCTGCTATCCGCAGATGAAATTGTGCATTTTTACAATATGTGTCACTCTGTCCCCTTGAGAAGATGCAGTTCTTTTTGGATTGTTGTCTGTTCTGCAAATACTATGTTTTCTTTTTTTGTTTTGATCATTTCAAGTCAATTAGTTACCACTAAAAATGTAAACTTTGGAATTTGATTGATATCTTACCATTTTGTGGTTCTTCCTCAGCAATTTGAAAAACAAACCCAAAACCCAACAACTGTATTTCTAAGTCCTGGAACCCAATAATCCCATGCAGCAGAGCAGATGAGAGTCTGTCTAGCTAGAAGCAGCTTTACAGGAAAGGACTTGGTGTCCTGGTAGATAACAAATTGAATGGGCCTTGGCACTTCATGTGCAATAAAGGTCAAAACGCATTGAGCTGCATTAGAGTGTAGCCCTCAGGTGGAGAATGTTGTTATTCCCCTCTTATTTGGCACTTGATACAATGTGCAAAGTACTGTGCCCAGTTTTGGGACCCTCAATATGAAAAAGAAGACATTGGCAGACTGGAGAGTCCAGTGGAGGTCTGATAAGGTGGTTAGCAGGGCTAAGGGGATGGAGTTATTTAGCTTGAAAGGAGTAGGATGAGGAGGATTCTTTAAAGGCTATTTTCAACTACCTAATGGATGGTTATAGAGACGATAGAGCCGGGCTCTTTTTCAAGGTGCACAGAGAAAGGACAAGAGGCAATAGTTAAAAGTCACAGCAAGGGAAATTCTAGTTAGATACGGGGGGAGGGCAGGGAATAATCACAAAAAGAGTGATCAAGTGCTAAGACAGGTTACAGAGGGAGGTCGTGGAATCTCCAGCCTTGGAGATACTCAAAACTTGACTAAACAAGGCCCTGAGCAACCTGACCAGACTTCTGAGTTAGCCCTGTGTTGAGGAGGGGTTAGCCCAAGTGACATCCACAAAGTCCCTTCTAGCCTAAATCCTTCTGGTTTAATTACTGCCTCAGAAAGCCTGGTCACATTGTGCCTTTCTTTAGGACTTGGTAGGGATCTTCCAAACTATGGTTATGAAGACTTCATGTGTTATATAAGTAGTTACAGTAAGTTCATTTGTACTGGAAGTTTTGTTGTTAAATGATACTGGACACTGTATCTGGCTAGGATTTTCTTGGTAGAGAAATGATAAAATGAGCACGCCTTTTTAAGCTATGCTAATGTAGTATGAGTGGTGTTGGCTAACTATAGATTCTGCTCTCATCTTTTTTTAAAATTTTACTAAACCCTTAGAACTGCCCTTTTCATCAAATGAAAATATGAAAATACGTTCCTAAGTGAAGCCTTTAAATTCTTCTATAGACTGTAATATTTAGGGAGTTTTGCCAGCATTGTGGCAGGGCAGCACCCGTGGTAATCCAGGAGAGGAGTGGAAGTAGAGACAGTGTTGGTACTGGAGAGAAATTAATTTTAAAAGCAACCCAAATCATTGAGTATATTTTACTGTCAGTCTCTTTGCACCTAGCTTTTCCTTTCTTGAAGCTGATGTAAGGAAATAGATCAACTGTACCAAAATTTAATTTAATTTACCCAAATGGTATAATAGTCCAAAAGTGTGCTCGTAAGTGTTGAGCATTACACACACTGATCTGAAAACATTACTAAAGTTTATGTAGGATTGTACTTCATTTGCAGCTAGATACAGGTTTAAGCTAACTGCTTGATAACTCCTGTATAAACTTAATGTGACACTGTTGTATTGTTTTTTCCTTCCATTTTTACTGAACAATCCCCTTTCAAAATTGTATTAACCACAGAAGTCTAGTGTGTAAGGTGAAGAGCTTTAATGTCCTTCTGGCATACATTGTGGATATTGTTTAGAAACCCAGAAGCTACATTAAGATTTGTCTGTCACTTATCTTGAGAGTGTGTAAGAATTTCTTTTAGCTTAGTGTTACTGTCCTGAAAATACCTTCTTTTTTAATCAGTGATGAAGAACGATACAGATACAGAGACTACGCCGAAAGAGGCTATGACCGCCATAGAACAAGTAGAGAGAAAGAAGACCGACACAGAGACAGGAGACACAGAGAGAAAGAAGAGACTAGACACAAGTCATCTCGAAGGTTTGATTTTTTTTTTTTTTTAATAGGATACGAAAGACTTGACCACTTTAAAAAAATAAAGTAAACTTTTAAAAGAACCCCAAACAAACTGGAGTTTGGTGGAAAGACTGTAAACAGATGTACTACTTTGGAACAAGTCTGCCATATAAAATGTGGACAGACAAAAAGCAATGTTGGCCCCGGGTAACTTCATATTGAATGATGTATGTGATAGTCTTAGCTAGTGAACAGAAATGAATTTGGGGAAAGAAGGGAAAAAATGGTGGGTCAGAAAGAGGTAGAGTGAAGCTGACATTCAGCAGCATTAACGTAAGAACTCAACAGTGATTCTTAGTAAGTAAAATAACCCTCGTGATCACTTGAGATAAAGGTTACGTCCAGGGAAGGGGGTCAACAAGAATGTTAAACCATTAAGGGATACCAGTAGGGACATGACATTACCAAAAGTATTGCTATTAGAATATGGGCTACAAATGTGAAAAATCATTCCAATTTCCTAACAAAAAGTACAGGATGGGTGGATATATGTACCGCTCCAAGAAGAATGCAGTTTGGTCCTGACTTCCAAATACTATATGGGTCAGAACAGGAGCAGGTGCCAGTTTCCAAATATGAATGCAAAGGCTGGGTTTTTGGTACTTTGTAATTAAATGGGGCCTGAAGTGTCACGAAATTTGTTTGACGTATTTTTTTTCTCTTTCTTTATTCAGTAACAGTAGACGTCGTCACGACAGTGAAGAAGGGGACAGCCACAGAAGGCACAAACACAAAAAATCCAAAAGAAGCAAAGAAGGAAAAGAAGCCAGCGGTGAACCTGCTCCTGAACAGGAAAACACTGAAGCTGCCCCTGTGGAATAGGCTTGTGTGATTTTTGCCTACTTGCATATATATTAGTGCCAGAAATAGATTACTATAAATCCTGTTATTTTTCTGGGTATTAAAATAATTTGCTCTTAATCTTGTTCTGTTAGTTTGAAATCAAAGATTACTTTGGGTTTTTTTTGAAAATAAGAGAATAAATTTTTCATGTTAAGATTCCTGGACTGACTTTGTCTTTTAAGAAACAATGAGAAAACATCTTGCAGCTAGAGGCTTATGCTCTTACAATATATAGGGCTTAAATTCTTTGTATTAAATTGTCTCCTTTTTTCATAAGCCAGTGGGAAGGTCATTCTTTTACTGACTTTAGAAACTGTGTACATTCACTTTATTATATATCAACATCTGGAACAGTGTGGGATTAGTATAGCTTTTGGAGTTCATATTTGAAAAGGTCATCCCTTACTACGGGGACAGGCAGGAATTGCAAACTCTTCAAGAACCTTGTATGAAGGTGAAATGAAAAGAATTAGGGAAACTGGGAAAGGTGCTGATTGTTCTTAGTCTGATAGAATACTGAGTGTGGTGATCATACACTTGGTAATTATGTCTGGTTTGTGTGGGTGCGTAAGGGTGAATTAAGCTGGATAATCATCCCTGCTGCTTTTCAGTGGCTTAAGAGAAAGTTCATTTTAGTCTTTGTTCTACGGGAACAGCTGTCCTTAACGTGATGAAGATTAACAAACATATCCTCTTCCCATTGCTAGCTTGTGAGGAAAAAATAAGGCTTTGGAACATGGGTAATTTGCAGAGAAAGGCAAAGAACTATTTTAAGAAAAACATAAGACCATCATCACTTTCAGATTTACTCCGTCCAGAACCGTATCAAGTGTGATTGGCATGGCAGTCCTGCAAAAATTGTACTGCCCTGTCAGGGTGCTATTTAGAAGACTTACTTGATGGTATTAGCAGGGTGCAGTGTACTTCCTTAAAAACAATAATTCTATATAAAAATCCTAGAATTTAATAGTATTAATGAAGACATACCAGGGAAACTAGGTAATTTGGTTTTGGATGAAAATAATGTCTGTACAAGTACACAGTTACAGTTATTTTTAATTATTTTAGAAATTTAATTCACAGTTTACAGACTAACAAACAGTACTTGAAAGTCTTGAAAATAACCAGCTTCATGCTGACCATGAAAAGGTACACATAATCAAAGTGCTATTAATGTGTTGGATAAAAACCTTCACCTGATTTTTGCAACTAGAAAAATTGCAAGAAGTTTTTCAATAAGTTATTCAAGGATTTCTTTTTGTAAATCAAAATAAAGTGAATGAGGAGGAGCTGCTGCTCCTTAAATTTCATTATTATTATAATACATTAAATATATATATATTAAAAAAATCCCAAAACAAAAAAAACCTTAAGAACACAGGGAAGGAAAGACTTAAGTCTGTAGCTTAAATCACTCTGAAGTGATTTTCTGACAGGTGTTCCTGCTTTGCCTAAACTTGACTTTTCTTGACATGCAGGTTGAAATTTCACAAACCTTTTCTTTATAAACACATCCGTGGCCCCCCAAAAAAGCAAAGACTAATGGTCCTTTGTTTTTTTTTTTCTGTGTTAAATTACTTGTCATACTCTCCATGAAGCCTTGTTTTATAAAAAAGTGCCAGGCCAGGACACAATTGTGAGAGTAATTTTTCCTTTCAGTTCTTTGAGCATCCTTGCCAAGCAGGCATGCATCATTCCTGATGTGTTCCTGCCATTGACAGCAAGGAGGATGTCGCCGCATCTGAAAAACCAAAGGCAAATACAAGAGAACAATTGAACAAGGTGACTTCTTATTTAAATGTTTCCAAATGCTAAAGCATGTCCTTAAGCTGGGAGGAAGAGGTAGAAAGGAGTATTACTATTCCTTTTCTGGTTAACTACTGTTCATGAATAAGGGAATAAAGCAGGTGAAAATACTTCACTTGTTTTTAGACATATTTGAAAGAAAATAGGACATAGTTCTTTCAAATGGGACTGATCTGTGTTCTGAACAAACTGTTCTAAGACTTCTCAACTGATTTAAGTTTGCTCCATAATTCTGCATTTACTCTGTTAAATTGTATTGGTGTTTGCAGGGAAGCTGGTTGATTGGTTGGTTGGTTGGGGGTTTTTTGATCTGGGGATGTGGGAAAGCTGCTCTGTGCTGGCATGCTTTGTACTACCCCAGAGATCAAACTGACTTACCTTTATACTTACACAGTAGTGATTGCTAGACATCTGAAAACATTCTACTATGAAGGCAAATCTATTAAAGTTCAGGACACTTTATGTCCTGTTTCCTATATCTGTCAGAGTTAGTTCTGTATCAATGAGTCCTTTCTTCCCCTATGCTATCTTCATGAAAACTTTTTTTAAAAAAAACAACCCACAAATTAACTAGATGAAAGCCTTACTTAAATGCTACTTTTCATTATATAGTTATCATTACCTAATTCTGCCATCATTATATGCTGGTGTTCCCCCAACAATGGATTTGATAAAGAATGGTTTATTTCCAGTATGTTCTTCATAACCTCCTACGATGCTGAAGCCAAGACTTCCAGATGTATTTCTTCGTAATACAATTTCTTTGCAGCTGTACAAATACCTGAAACAAACCAGTCTAATTAAATGTCTTATGGTTAACTTCAGATTTTGATGAATCATTAATGATTAATCTGCCTTTTCATACACTCTTAGAGTGTTTTGAAGATGCAAAATAGCACCAAAGTTCCACTGTATTAGACACCTATACTTCCCTTCTGTTTTTGTAGTGCTGCTTTCTACAACCAGTTATCCTGAAAGTAAAATTACTAGGTAATCGTGGGGTTAAAATATTAAATAAGTTGTTTCATAGGGTAATAATTTATGCTAAATGATCTAGTTGAAAGTGATAAACACTTACTGAGACTGGATTTAATATTTGTAAGCTGCCATTCCAGAAACTGTATTTCACCTACCTTGTACTGTCCAGTGACTTGTTTTATCTTCCAGATAAGAGCCTGTATGTGACTAACTGTGTCAAAAGTGGTCAGGCATTTATTACTGTGGTGCAGGTCAAAGCTAAATAATTTCAAGACCAATGAGCCAGAATTAGAAAAATCACAGAGATGACACAAAGAAGAGTATCAGTGGAAGGAGGGATCCTGAGCTTTTCTTGTCAAGTAACACGGTAAGTCACAGCATAGAAGATGTGAGAAGCCTATCCCTGTCAGTCAGTGCTTTGGAGTACTGAGACTGCTGTCAAGAAGATAACTTGTCCTCACTATAATGATTAACACAAGTTTTTATGGTGAGAGACCTGAAATCTGCTTCTCCCTCCATTTGTCTTTTGAATGCATTTTATGATACTGTAAGTTATGCTGAGTCAAAGCTTAGCTGAAACAAGGAATAGGGGAAAGCAAGAGTAGTAAGGTTACTAGACTTACAGTTTGCCTATTGCTCTGAGTACATTAATTTCAATACCTGCTTTGTTTCTTTTTTTTAACCAAACAGGAAAGAACCAAATTAATTTCATTAGTTACAGAGCAACAGAAATTTCTGTCCTTAGTACTTAACCCACCACGTTAGCAGTGTACTCAGGAATGATTGAAGAGCCTGAAAATCCTTTTGCTATTCCATATCTGAAATTATAGGCTGGCCTACAGCAAGCAACTGTTACAAACTCTATTCAGAGACTCTTTAGGTTTCTAAGAAACAGCTGACACTTCTTCTGTAGAAGGATTAATAACTTTAAAGACCAATATGTCTAGCTTTTTAAAAATTCTGTTTGTCAAATAATGCTTTTGCTGTGTTTCACAGCAGGATTTTATGGTAATACTAGATTAGTCCCCCAGGACCTACAAATATTCACCTGCTGCCAGGATGGTAGGTATATAATATTTGCACAAGAATTCACTGGCTGCTAATGTAAGAAACAGGTGACATTTGCTTCTTTCCTCAGCAGCCAGGCATTATTACTTTACCATCTGTGGACTTCTTAAATGTGCAAAATCACTTAAACCCTCTATGTTTGATGGTACTTATCAAGGTCATGACCAAGCGATGCCAGGATTCAGCCGTTAGTGCTATTACCTAGTGTTGATTTTGGGGGCAGGGGTCTCTGCTGCCCGGTGCTATGCTCACTGCCTTAAGGAGGATGTTGCTGAAATTGAAAGGACATCAGCTAAATCCTAATACCATAGAAAAGAAATAGCCAAGCAGGTAAAGACATGAGAAGAAAACACAGCAAAGACAAACAAGGCTTACATGCATTCTGTACATACCATCTGTAAGGTTATCAGTTACACAGTCTCTGTCAGTCCAGAAAGCATAAATACGTATTTGCTGTCAAAGTGTATGCTAAATTTAAGTAAAATAGACACAGCATACTAGTCTAGTGTTAGGATTGTTCTCTCTGCCAGAGCAGAGGAAACACACGAGGAGCAAGGAGCAGCAGAGAGCAACTAGTCTGTCCTGACTCCAACCCCCTGCGCTGCCTTTTGCCTCACTGCAGGGATGGGGTGTAACCTGCTGTAACAAGGCAGCGGAGACCAGGAAGGCAGGAGGAGAAGTGCTGGAGTGAAGCTGAGTATGGGAAAAGGGGAGGAAAGGGGTCTTCCCCAAGTGTTTTTCACATGTTTGTCGTCTTTGGTTCCCAATACCCAAACTGGTAATTAAATGTTTTAACTTAATTCCCCAAGCCAAGTCTTTTGCACACAACAGTAACGGGTGAGTGATTTCCCTGTCTTTACTTTGACCCATGAGTTTTCTTGCTCTCGTTCTTCCTATGTTCTCTTGTCCTGCTGGGGGTGTTGAGCTGTGTGGGTGCTTGGTGCAGGCCAGGTCCAACCCATCACACTGGCCATAGCTAGAGATTGACTCTTGACAGAATAGGAGTGGCTAAGTGGTGTTTATCCCTTTAAATTAATGTTTCCTTATCTCAGTCCTAGAGGATAGAGGGTATAAACATGGCAGCGCACCATCCGTCAGCTATTTGTTAGTGCTGTCGGAAATGTGAAAAGGATGCTGGGAGGCAGGGTGCGCAAAGCTGAGCTACATATAAGGTGGGTACTGCCTGCTCCAAACAGTTTAGTACATAAGCAGAGATGCCTGCTCTGCCTGAGCAAAGAGCAGCCCAAAGGGAGTTAGTTCATTTGGGTCTGGTTACCGCTGTGTGGTAATAAAGACTAGCTAGAAAGCGCCACAGAGAGAAAATTAAGTAAGTACTTGCGTCATCCAAAGATGCTTAGTGTGAGTAGATTACTCCTCTGTGGTAACAAAAGCCCCAGTCGGTGTGTTTCGACCCAGTTAAACTGCCATAACCCAGCTAAACTGCAACCAGTCCAAGGAGAACCGTCTTGGAAGAGAGCAGCGCACAGTCTTCTGCCTCTATCTGTAAATATTCCAAAAGCTGAGGACAAGGAGTGATTTATGTGTGAAACTTGCCTCAGATTCAAGATTTGGGGATAAACAATGTCTAGACACAGGGTCCTATCATAAGAAATACTACAACTGAGCGTCAGTTACTGATGCACAAAGAATTTAAAAGTGCCTGTTTTCAAGTAGTGAAACGTACAATCCCCTGCCGCTTTTCGCAAAGCACGAGTATGCTCTGGGAATGAAAACCAGCCGAACTTCAGGAGCACTTCAGCAATAACAGGTATGAAAAGCATGACTCCCTCCCTCTGCCCTGTTACAGTAGCCAAGTAGCAGTGGAATACAGTAATATTTGAGAATTGCTCCCATCAGAGCCCTACAGCCTGGATGGAGTTAATTTGGGGGAGTTTCTGTCCTAATTCTGTGTGTTATGTCCAGTTCTACCCCTGGTTTGCAGAATGACTTTGGCCACCTCCTGTCTTTCTCATCTCACTTTGCAGATGAAGGAAAGCACTTGTGTGAAGTACTAATGTTTGAAAATGTTATGACAGGATGATCTATAAAGTATTTTTAAGTGCTAGCTGGGGGAAGGAAATGTGAGGAGAGCAGAGAAAGGAGGGCAGGAAAACAAGCAGTAGAAGAAACATCACGGGGCTGGGGAAATGCTTTTCACCAGCTGCTCCACATTATTTCCTTTGTGCATGCTTCACAACAACATTTCCCTCCAAAAAATAAAGAAGACCTGTCTTCCTCAACAATAAACAATTAAATTAGCTACCCTGAAATAAGTCTTCAGGCGGGAATGCTTAAGGTCCTGCATCACTGTTTCCTCCCGACGCCCAGCCTGCAGCCCCTCCGCTCACATGCGGGCCAAGTTCTGACAGACGTCAGATGCACATGTGCATCCTATTTTATAACTGCTACATATTGGATTGTACTACAGAAAGAACAGAGGAGTTGTTTATGTATTATCAAGCCATATAAAAGTGACCAAAGCCAAATCTAAGCTCTCACAAGGAAAGGGCTGAAATTTAAGTAAGATACACAAATGTTAAATTGTGAAAGATGGCTTTTCCAAGGCTTTGAGCTTTGGTGTGAGAAGTCAGATAACCTGTCTGATTCTGCTGCTACTGACTTGAACTAGAAAAATGGTATAGTTCCCTAACTCTCAATATTTGTGTCTCTTGTCTGTGCCCATCTCTGTAACAACTATGCAGTCCCTGGGAAGAATTAGGTGTTTATAGTACACCGGCCTCAAAAGCGAGGAAGGTACTTTTAATGATGTAACTATTATTAACATTAGCCTGTTTTCTACTTTATCAGTCATGGGCAGAGGTCTGTAGACATCCTCTAGCGTTTAGCTCAACTCAGCACATTTTATGAGACCATCCTTGACAGGATTTTCATCAAAACTCCATGGTTTTGGAACACAGAAGGAAAGACTCTCTTCGCCCCTCAGTTTCCTAAGCCTGAGCATCCCACTCTAAGTCGCAATGTCAAGCTGCGTCTGCACTCCCTGTCTCGCTTGCTGTGAACAGATACTTGGCACTGCACTGCTATGGCTTGTCTAGAGCCACATCTTCCCGTTCTCAGCAGAATTTAAAGAATCCACCATCCAGCCGCCCAGTGCCTGTTCCTGGCCTACCAGTTTTACTGACTTTCCTATTTGTTCAGTTTTTCTTATGTAGGTGTGCCCCACCCTACCTGTCTTCCCAATTACTTTGCATGATCCTGTATAATCATGATTTTGACATTTCTACTTTTCCATCACCTGTACCAAATGTTCTCGGACTCACGTATCTTGGAGCAGTCCCTCTTATAAATGGTTTTAATTAGGGTAGGTGAATCTTCACCGTCTTGTCCTGTAGTTGCACATGAGGCACCTTTGCCAAGCTGGACCTGTCAGACATCTATTTGGAGAAGAATAGTTTTCTCTAGCAGCCTGGAAAAGGCTGTGAGACTGCTGGCAATACCGTGAGGTCTAGTGGGATGTGATCCTTGCCAAAAGCAAACTGAAAGCCAGATAGGGAAAGGTTAAATGCTCAGCCTGGAGTGAAAGGAGTTAATGTGATACACATCCTAGTGTGAGAACCTGTTGAAGGACTTCCAGACATCTGGTGTGGGACCTGAAGAAGAATCAGTACAAGAGTAAGAGTGTAAGCGCACTGATGCTGGGGAAGACTGAAGGGTCTGATAATACCTAATGAGCAAACCCAAACCCAGTCCTTGCACACCCCTACTCAACCAACCAGCTACTAACAAGGATGCAGCACACCTTTGTTACTGTCATGTCTAACCAGTGTTGGTCCCTGTCTTAGTCTGATGCAGTGTACCCGCTCAGCATACCAATCCCTTTACTTTTCTTTAGCGGAGAAGGGCTGCGCTGTGCTTGGCATCGCAGCTGGGGATGGAGTTACAATGAACTCCTGTCTTCAGCCTTGCTGACGCTGAGGCTGATTTTCCTTCAGATCAAAGGGGTGGGAATGCTTTCACACATGCAGCCTTCGGAGGAGGGGGGATAGAGTGGGCTCAGAGACTGCTTTTAAAATGGGAAGAATACTTTTCTTCCCAAACTGCAAAGTGGAACTGACTGATGTGAACCCTGGGTGCAAGCCTGCAGCACTGGAGCTCTGTCCTTCATCTCCGTCACCTTGCTGAGGACACAGGGACTTCAGGCAGCTGTGGGTAGAGATGATGACTAGGCAGCTCAGGTTTCCTCTACAGCCCAACGAAGGTGGGGTTAGGGCAGGTGTAGGCAAGGTGCAATTGTTTCAGTCCATCTAGCAATGGGTGGTGATTGAAAGCAAGCCTCAGCATTGCAAATTGCAGCATCTATAAGGCCTCTAGTCTGCTTGCTGTCTCTCTGCTGGGAGCGCTACCCATGCTCCAGTGCCTTCACAATGCTGCTGGTCAAGCTCAGGGGTGCAGAAGCAGTGAGCAGGAACGAAGACCTCCCTAGGGCTGCCTGTCTGCAGTGGGACTGGGTGAGAAAAGTTTACCATTGGCTGGGGTAGCAAGTTATGGGCCATCCATTTACTGCTTTTTCTTTCACAGGAATAAGGACGTAGACCTCTCCACTGGAGAAGGAACCTTTCATCTGTGGGTGACAGACACGTGGCCTACCTTCTGATCTTGCAGTGCTTCAGCACATGTTACACAGTCATTAGCCTCAGACCAAGCCCTGAAACACATCTGGCCCTCACAGCAGACCTTGCTGCAAGGTGAATGAGCTCACAACAGCTCAAGGCAGAAGGAGAGAAAGCATCTAACCCGCTATGCGAGACTGGGAAACGAAGAGGAGTCCTGAAACTGTGCCTAGAACAAATGCCCACCTGTTCTGCAGACCATCTTCTCATGCCCTCCCCTAAAAGACAAAGAGACATGCTGAACTGCTGCCAGGGATAGGACTAAGGACAAAAGTAACTTGTAAGCTAAATTCTTCATTCCTTTAAAACTGAATACCAGTTTCAAATGTGTGATACTAGCTTCATGTATTCACAGATTCACAACATGTCCTCATTTAATACTTACTTACAAAATGTCGCTGAAGCTGCAGGTATACACCCTGCACACCGAGTGTGTTTGCGAGAACGACATGCGATGTGGCTTTTATTTTCCTTACTGAAATGACAACACAGCTGCTTCCTGTGTATGACAAATGTACTTCTTTCAGTCGGGGGTGGGGTTAAAAGAGGTGATTCTGAGATACCGGCCAACTGCACACACTTTGCAACATCTGGGCAAAGTCAAACAATTCAGCTGGATTTGGCTAAGGAGAAGGGCTGTGCAGCTTGAGAGCTGCAGGAGGGGTAGCTCTGCCTTCTGCAGGGTGGTCGCGCCTAGACCCCAATTCAGCAAGCTCCTGTATCCCTGCAAGCTTTTCCTTTTACTCCCTAAGTGCCAGATATGTTTTCGATGGAACAATTCAGGATCCTTTCCTCCCTTGCAAGGGGATCTGCGTGTCTATTTTTCCATGTACACATACCCATTTACAAAAGGGAGGTATTTAGAGTCAAGTCTGTGACAGAGCCTGGATTTAATTAAGATTTCAGTGCAATGAATCAAGCCAAAAGAAAGAATTGCCAGAAAACACAAATCTTTCCTCCCACTCCCCTTCAGCAAGAGGATGCAATCTGTGGACTTACCGTGGCAGCCCCAGCCACATAACCCAGGAAGGTGACCACTCGCTGCTCTCGGGGGCCGCCTGCGTGGCCTCAGGGGGTGGCAGGTGGCCCTGCTCCTCCTGGGCTTCGCACGCTCTCATCTCCAGGGCTTTGAGCACCACCGACGAGTTGGTGTTTTTCAGCAGGGCGACGGCCTCGCTCCGGCTGACCCCCGTCAGGTCAATCCCATTCACGTTCAGGAGGATGTCACCTGAGACCGATAAAACGGATGATAAAAAACCTTGCAAGTGTTTCCAAGATCCCCTCTCCACCCCCACGAACAAGCAAGTCAAAGCCACGGCCAAGAACTTGCTGCCTGATGAGGCTGTTTGTTAATCCTATCGGTTAACGGGGATGTGAAGCATATGCTAGTAAACATGCCACAGGCATGAGGGAAGGGGCTAGATCCCCGTACACAGGAGCATCGCTGGGCTGGACGGGGGCTTTGGTCCTGGTTTCTTGTCACGTCATGTCCTGCATCCAGAGCTGAATGGCACAGCTGGGGTCCTGCTGTACCAACAAGCTTTGGTACCGGCACCTGATGCTAGTCCAGGTCTCCAAAGCCCGCGTCCAGCTAACAACTTTGGTACTCAACCTGAACTTGAAACCTGAAAGCTCGAAGGTGGTTTTCTCCCAGTGCTCCCTAAGCTGAGGACTGCCACTCCAGCTGGTTCTTCGTAAAGTTTGCTTTGCAGAATAACCTATTATTATTTTAATGTTAATGCTCGTTTGAATGGCCGCAAGCCAAAACGTCTTTCTGATTGCCTTGTTTACAACATAGGCACAGCAAATCGCAGAGAAAAATGCAAAGATGACCTCAATTACTTCAGGGAGAACAATAAAGACATCATTAATGTCATGCCTGATGCCATGGTGCCAAGCGCTCCGCTAGGCTCCACGGCTCGTTCCAACGACAGGGCTTCCCTGGGTCCCTCTGTGCTTCACCTGCATGCTCCTCCAGGCAGGGCCTGTATTCACTGGCAGTCCAGGCAGTGCAGCATGAACATTAACCAATTCTTGTGGTCTGCCCCGATGAGGCAGACAACAGCCTAAGGGATGCTCTAAACCATGGAGGCTTATGGCGCTGTTATATCATCACGTATTCATTTGTTTCTAATTTTATCAAATTAACTAGGCTGAATTTTCCATGCTGCCTCATGATGAATATTTTTTGGAAAATGTATCCCACTGAGAGGCAGTCATTTCCCAGCAGGAGGAAAGGGGAAACTTGCTGGTTTGCTCCTGTTGTCATGTTCTTACACGTGTTTTGATGAGCAGCCATAGCTCCCGCAAAGGGGAGGTTCCCACGTGTGCCGGTGCTGGGTGCTGCGACCCAGGCTCGTGGAGCTCAGCTGGGCTGCAGCTATTCTGCCCCACTTTTGGGTGCCTTTGCTTCCCTCACACTCAGGATTTCCCTCCAGCTTCTTGGTAGTGACTGGGCTGAAGCTGAGCACGGGGGATGAAGGGCAAGGGGATGGCAAGCTGTGTGGTTGCCAGATGCAGGGTACCAAGCTACCCTTGGCTCTTGGAGATTTAACATCCTGAAAACTGAGAGTTTCACCATTCCTCTACTGCCTACCTGTTCCCACAAAACCCACTGATAACATGCTCTTCCTCTTACTGTAAAGGCTTATTCATGCAGAGGGGGAGAAGCTTATTAACTTTATCACTCTGTTACATCAAGACCCAAATGGAATCATGAAGCCAATGTTTCCAGACATGATATCAAGCCACAAGGCACTAACATTGCTTCATATGTAATGGGAATTCTGCTCCTTTATATTTCTTTCAAAACCATGAACAATATGACAAACAAGCACAAAAATTTACATTAAAAACCCATGAAGGTTGCACAATGAAGATTTCAGTAGTTGGGAGATGGTGGTGCAAGCTCATTTTCCTGTGAAAAACGATTTATTTTTTTCCTACCAGAATACGGCCACATCCCACTTCACAGAGATGGTTACTGCTGCATATTATACCTTTTCTGGTAGCTGACTTGAGACCCTCTAATCTGAGGCATCCCAAAATCTATGGGATGGCTGAAGATGTCAGGGTGTGATGCTCTTTCACTATCCCTCTGTTTTTCAAAGGAATCCTTTAAATTAAAGCAGGCTTTCAAAATCCCCTCTTTTTACCTGTTTTTATCCTGCTGTCTCTGCTGATAACTCCTCCAGGTTCGACACTTATCACATAGATAGGCAAATCCCATTCCCGGTTAGATGCTCCTCCTGCTACAGTCATTCCTAGCGATTCTGTGTGATCTTTCCGGACAGCCACCACCTTCTCGTGACAGGTGACGGTGTGAAGGGTGCTCTGTGATGGAGAAAACAGCAACAACAAACACAGTGGGCATGGGGACCTCCCTGACAGCTTAGGCATTTTCTGCTGAAATGAATATTCATTGAGGGAATACCAAAGCACTTCACAGCCGACTGCCACGCCTGGCCAGATGGCAAGCATGACTTTCTCCAGGGTTTAGGCATCTGTGGAGTCAGAGCTACCGCCAAGATAATCCATGCTTTAACAGCTAAAGTCAGGCACTGGTCCCGCCAAAATCAGAAGAGTTTTAGTGTTGAGACTAATAGAAGCAGGTCTTTGAAATGTAAATAAGAAATCTGATTTTTTTTAAAAAAATGTTCTTGATATTATCACTACTGGCCCTCATATCTTTGACTATCAGGTCATGGTTCTTATCTTGTGGCTTGCAGTCTGAGCATCATCTGTACAGTTAATGAGAAATGGTCCACCTGGGTTAAAGGAATAAAACTCTTGGGGACAGATTAGAAGATATACACTTCATTTGCTCTTTCAGATTTCTGTGTTTCTGTGTAAATTACTAGTGGGAATACACGTGAAGAATATGTGTTTCTGTTCAGGAAAAGAGAAGGACATTTATAGAGTGAAGAGCCAGCAGCTTCCAGGGGGCTCTTCCTAGTGCTTTTGCTTAAAAGGTCACTTTGGGACAGCCTGCTCTACTGTCTGAGGACAGTCATCCCCTTATTCCTCCTCCTGAACAGGAAAACTTACATACACACCGCTGATCATGCAGTAACTAGTGTATAAGTAAGTGAAACAAACTCACAGGCAGCCTCGGGTTGGACAGGCAACACAAGCTTCAACAAAACCTGTGTACTGAATGTCATGTTTACAACGCATCCAGCTCTTACAGAAGACTTGAAGAGACAAGGATGCTTCTCCAGAAAATCTGGATTCAAATGTTAAATGCTTTGATTTCTTTAAGTATTTCATAAGGTGTGCTCCTGGCATCAACTCCTGAAGATCCCCACCTCTCTTGCAGGAGCAGCACCATCCACTCCAGGCTCCTATGCAGATATAATAGCATGCTGCTAAATATATTTAAAATGCATATTAAAAAAAACCCCAACCTTCTCACTCACAAGTGTGACCACACATTTATAATATGCAAAAATAAGCTGTAAAACTCATTTAAAGCCACATTAATCTCTTCTTAGAAATCCAAGATCCTACAAAGACATTCCACCTCAATTCCTGGGCCAGCAGCACAGAAAGTGGAGCAGGCACGTCCGTGGCTGCTCCTGCAGTGATGATGATGGATGAAGGAAGAAGTTTTTGTGGGAGTAGGGCAGGCTATATATTTGGTTTGGTTTTTTTTTTTTTAAAGGTATGTTTGGTAGAACTAACTCCACATCAGGATTTCTGTGATGCAACATCAACAACAAACCCCAGAACCTTTTAGCAGCTTAGCAAAGGATCTCTAGATGCTTGAGCAGCAGAACAGTGGCTGCCACAGAGCTCCAGGAACAAAAAGGCAAAGAGCTCAGTGGAAAAGGTCTTCTCTTAGTCACCAGGACAAAAAACAAAGTGATACAGTTGTTTGGACGTAACACATCTGATCCATGCAGAACACAGGCACTGTTTCAGAGTAATTGGGCTTATGGCTTGCAAAGGAACCTAAAAATTCTGAAGGTTTTACAACACTCCCTTTTAAAAAAATATAAATGTTCTAGTCCAGATAATTTTAACCTTTCACCTTTGTCTTTAAGGTGTAAATGTTTTAAACATAGTAGTTCTATCTTTGTGCAAAATAAACTTAATGTTTCATCCATATTTGTGCAAAAACATTGTCCTTTTTCCCTTGGAAAGGAATGGCTTTCCATCAGGAAAAGGCTAATTCTTTAAGCATGTGGGATAGGGGCAGTACTAATTTTCACAAAAATGCAGTCTGGAATTTTGTACCAAGAGGTGAAATTGGAATTAGACTTGCAGCTCAGAGAGTTCAGAGCAATCCTGTTACTTATGAAGTGTCCATCATGTCTCAGACACCAAAAGCATTAGCTGATAAACTGGCTAATGCTCTATTTTTGAGGAATTGGTGCAGAGAGAAGCAGATTTCAAAGCAGTGCTTGGTAGCAAATTGTCCTGTTACCTTTCAATGAAGAATCATAAAAGTACTGGTACTTTTATGCTCAACCATGTAGGACCAGTTTTCCTTTGAAACTACTCTTGCACATGTCATTTTTTACATGGTTGCAGATAGAAAGGAATTGAGTCAACTCGACTGAGACGAAGGCAGTGATGAAAGGAAAGTAAAGCCTTTCTTAGTAAACACACGTAGAGCTTTCTTGGAGGTACAACTGATAATGAGTAAACCAGTTAAAAGGCAATGTTTATCAGTGCCTGCATTTCAATGCATTATCTTCTAAACAATTGTCCTTTTCTGTCATTTTGAAGTGACCTTGGAGGTCAGGAAAAGAAAAACATAACAGTTCATCTCCTCCTCTTTTTAATTTTTTTCTTTTCTGTATATTTACTGGAAAATAAATATTTACAGCAGATTATCACAACATCAAAGCCATGACACGTGTCTTGTAGGCAAAAGATGTATCTGCGTCTGTTTGCAAAATGTACTTCACCTGAAGACTAACCTGCTCGTACGGTCAGAAAACATTGCTTGCTCAAGCAACAGGGTGACAGATTTGTTTTAAGTACTAGGCAATTTGTTAGAAAGGAGTAAGAAACCAGTTCCAATTAAAAACAAGTGCTATTTAATTAATGGCAAAGCTCCCACTGACTTCAAAGAAATCGAATCTGGCCTGTTTATGCGTTACAGCCCAGCTTAACAACCTCGGCTGCACAAGAAAGTGTTTCTGACATCTTTTCTTTTCTGATTCCAGGCGGCAGCCAGAACAGCTTGGGCTGTGCCTCCCCTATCTCCGTACGCAGGAAAACAGCTCGGTGAGAGCCTGTGCAGGAACAATCTCCTGGCACACCAGACACCCGGCATCACTGCCGCCAGAGAAGGACGTGGTCACTACAGACTGTCCTCCTCTTTCTCCAGTGCCTTGTTGGCTGCGTGGCTGATTGCCATTGGCATGGGCCTGAAAGAGAGCCGCCTCCGCGCGCTTTCCAGATGGAGGCAGCCTGTCATGAGGGCAACAGCTTGGCCAAAAGCGGTTCCTGAGCCATCGTGCGAGCAAGGCGGCTGCTGGAAGCTAGAGTTTATTCTTGGTGCTGAATACAGCCAAGGCTTGAGAGCAGATTTCAGCCCACGTTTACATACATGCTCTACAGTGAGAGCTGCTTCCCTCAAAGAGCATTCCTGACCTGCTAATATCACCTCCTACAGTAAGCTCAGGGGACAAAACACACCTTAAAATTAATCAGAATTCAAGTCAGTTAGCAATCTATCAATCGCACATAATAAAGCAATCGCACTGATGGCGGCAGGTAACAGACTCATCAAACCATGCACACACAGGAAAATCCCTTGACAGTAAAGTCCAGCCAACAAGCATTGCCTTGGTTTTGAGCAGGAGTGTGCACTGCGTTAGGACACCCTACAGGCCCTACGCTTGCAAGCATTACTCCTGTACTAATGTCTATTTAAAAGCAAATAACATTTTAAGTCTGCCAAAGCCTAGAATTTAAAGATCTTGAATTGCAAAGGCTGTTCAGTTAAACCTTCAGCAAAAAAGCATGAGAAATTCAAACTGACACACTCATATCCTATAAAAGGGCAAGTAACACTCCAGTAATGATTTTATCAGACCAAAAGCCCACAATGTCTGAAGCTCGTCGTGTCCACTGGCCATACTGGTCTCCTGATCTATTGCCAGAGCATTTCTCTGATATAAGCCTTCCACTGCACACACACAAAGCTAAAGGGAGCTATGAACAGCTCCGAAGTTTCTTTTTTTGGCTGTGATCTTCCCTGGAAAGTGCCCAAATGGTGGCACTGGACAGAAGCCCGCAGCAGCATGCCCACTCATGCGCTTATGTAGCACCCACCTCTTGTAGCAAACTGGAAATCCTCCTAAAAGCCGTGACCTATCCAGCAAAAGATGATTCATTAGTCTTTAAAGGACTGTTGCAAGGTCAATGTTGGCCCTTCAATCTCACAGCTACCCAAAATGGTGTTGAATTTACCAAGAATTGCTATCTAACACCTCTCGGTACAGGAAGAGAAAATGAAGATCTGGGGCAGTTTATGGAAGACAAGTCATGTTCCCAAATAATCCCATGTGCGATCAATTAATCAGATCAACGTGGCAGATCTAGCAAGCGCTTGGAGCTTCACTAGAAATCATACAGTAGCAATACAAGCTAATTGCTGTCCTACACATATCTCCCCAAGGAAATCATTACTTCATTAGGAAGTAATGCCTTGCAGATGCGTGATTAGTTGGGCACTATTTACTACTGGGTAGTAGCTACCAAGCATTGACTCTGCTCACTGGTTTAACTCCTGCTGATCCAGTCTCACCTAACAAGGGCTGTGATTGTGACTTTGTGGAAAAGGAAAACTGAAAATAGATAAATAGACACTAGTATAGTTTTTACACATAAAAACACTGAATAATGTAGTTTAAAAAAAAACAACCTGCAAAAAATGGGTATCTTTAAACATTTGTAAAATGCAGAGCTAGGCTTGTCTCCTGGCTGACAGCTGTGCATCCGATCTGGCAGCTGGTTCAGTCCAAAGGTCCCTTTAAGGACACATCTGGCTCCCCATCAGGCAGGATGGATTTAAACCAGCCCTGCCTGTCCACCTCCCTGATGCACCCCTGGCATGGGTGGCCAGGGGACCAGCTCGCAAGGCTTTGCATAAATGGTGACACTCAGAGCGATTCATGTAAATTAGCCAGGCATGTGGCTTTAAATTTAGTGAAATAAACAAATTCAGCTCCTGCAAGGACATACCTTGTTGTGTTTATAGTGCAAAGAGTAGCATCGAGTAAACTCAGAAAAGGTACTTTCAAAGCTCTTGCTGCATTGGTTTCTGCTTTAAAACCTCATATATTTGACCATGAGAGTCTCCCTGCCTTATGCAGAGAGCATATTGCAGGTCTAAATGCACTAAACACATGATGTAACCGGGTACAGAGGAGCGGTTGGAGGGACAGTTTGGGAACCAGAGCCATACTTGGGCGAGAAGGTTGCTCTGTGCCGCATGGCTCTGGGTTGGGTCCAGCTGTGCTGCCACAGCCGAACCAACACGTTTTGGGTCCAGCGCTCCACAGAAAGACGGCATGCTTGCAGCGGCCACCAGGACTGCAGCCACTGCCTGCCGCCGAACTGCCAGCTGGGTCAGAGCATGGGTGTCTTAAGAAATGAGCAACAGACTAATAATTACTGTAATTTTCAAGCAGCTTATGGGAATCTCTCAGGCCAGCATATGAAAGCTTTTTGCTTGAAGACTTTGCTCCAGATGGAGAAACTTCAGATAAGCCTCTTATTTTCATTGGAGCGCATTGCCCCATGCTGGCTCGCACCGCCGGCCAGGTCGGTGCCCACGGCCAGGATGCTGTGTGCACATCAGGGCCCTGCCCCACCACTGCCCTTTACCTTCTCCTTCCCTCCCCACCCCAGCCAGAGTCAGGGCAGGAGCAGTGTATCAAAAATGAGGAGCACAGCTTCTACGTTTCCATTGCAAAAGAAGGCATGCTTCTTCTGGTGACAGAAACCAGATATAACACCCCAAGACACTAAAATGCTAGCTGCCCTCCCAGCCCCCTGTCCAACGGATGGCAGAGAAACCACGCGAGCGCTCGTGCCCTCACCTTGCCGGGGTTGTTTCTTTCGGTGGGACAGGGCTGGGGGCTGCCGCGGCCGTAACTCCAGCCCGTCTCCTGCAAGAGGTCGGGGGTCTGCTGCCTGGTCTGCCGCGACACGACGAAGTGAACCTGCTTCTCGCTGGCCTGTGGGAGGAGGTACAGAGTGAATCCCACAGCCCCGGTGCAATAAACCCCTGCACTTTAGCCCCAGAGGATTCGCGAAATGTGGGTCCCACTTAGCGGGAAATCCAAACCACACTTAACGCGGTCACAATGACGTAAAGCAGTAGCATCACTTCAGGTCAATAAAGTTCATAAAAATTTACTGCCAGCTACTTAATACTTCTTTTGAAAATTTGGTGTTAACTCTGAAAACCCCTTCCTATCTGCCCCAAATGTGGCTGGAAGCAGTGATCCACCACAGTGAGTGCCACTCAGCCCTCGCAGACATCTGCGTACACCACCACAGAGCAGCAACTTGCCTGCCACAGGAGAGAGACAGACATCCAGAGCTGCTGCTGCCAGACGGGAACTCTGAAAAAGGTGCAATTAACCCTGTAACGAGGGATGTGCTCAAGCCTTGGCTGATGAAAGTGGGGAATAAATGATGTAACTGAGTCCACCTGCATGCAGTGAGCATGACAAATGTAAGGCAGCTTAAAGAAAGGGATGTGCAACCATTTTGAGAAGTAAAATCCTACTGCACAAGAGCACAAAGAAAGAGGGAGGGCACAAGCAAGCACACAGAATAATGGAGTTTAGGATGGGAAACTAGCCCAAACTCTCACTCTAGGAACAGGAGCTGCAAAAACAATTAACCCAAAATAAGCTCAAAATGCTTCTGGGCCTTTTTTGCACAACGCAGTCATAATACTTACATGCCTGAGAGATGCTGCAAAGCTTCTACTGAGTTATGTTTGCTCGTTATTTTTAAGGTGTTCTGTGTGTGCCTGATATTACTGTTATTAATTCTGTGTACAGGTGAATTTTTCTGCCTTATTGAATCAGCACGGTTTCCCTAGAAGCAAATGGCTTCATTCTTCCCTCAGTGAGGCTCATATGAATCTGTTCCAGACAACAGTGATGTAAAGATAGAGCTGAGAGGGAGTGGGGTTTAGCTGGGTAAATCATAGATGTCTGCCGTAAGGGCAAACCAACATACTGAACTGAAGTATAGCAATAGCCTCAGTGCTATAGAAGCATACGCAGAAGATAAAAAAAATTAATCCTCTAATCTCCTTCTCTCCAGGCTAAAGACCCTGGTGTTGTGGCAGGCAGGACAGGCTCTTAAGGACCAGTCTCCAGAGGGACTCCTGCCTGCTTGCTCGCAGGTTATTACCGAGCAACTGCTCAGAATCAAACGTGGAGCCCCCCCGGCAAGCATGTCTGGAGGTCTGATCCCCCTGGGGCTGCAGCAGCAATGCTTGTTGGTACCGCAGCCCTGGGGGCATCAGACCTCCAGAATCGCTTGCTGGCATGCTGACGTGCCCTGCTCGCTGGGGAGAAGCTCCAAGGAAAGCTGGCGTTGAACAAGCAGCTGGAAACCAAACCCAGATCCAGTTGCGCTATTGAAATCAAATCTCCTGCAGACAATTAACAGAAGTCAGAGGAAGCCCCTGGGATTTTTGTTTTTATAGTTCGGTTTGTCTTTTCTGGAACTGAATTCAATAGTAGTAGCTGAGAGTTAAAAAATGCTTTTCAAAAATGTCACTATAGTTAAAAAAAAAAGCAACCTACCTCTCCTAAACCTCCAACTTCAAGCCTGAAATCTGCATGTTGAGGCTGTGCTATTTCCAAGGAAGGTGATCTCTCAGTAAAAAAATGTGCACTTCTTCGTTACTGCCCCAATATCTTTGGGGATGCTAGTTTTTTCACCAGCAACTCAAATCTCCACAGCTTCATAATACATCATTTGGTACATACACACATATTTCAAAATACCTTTCTAGGTATTTTCACCAGGTGTGTTTCTATGGAATATTAATTCCTGGGCTCTGGACTCAGCTGGTACCCAAAAGCAGAATGCTGTATCTTGGGAGAAAGGAAACCACCCTGGTCCCTAGTTTGTAATATGTTTGAGATGGAACTGAACAATACAAGACTAAACCTCCTAAGGGCATATGGCCCCATGAAAATCCAGTTTTCTCTAAAACAAACAACTTCAACTTAGGCAACTTCTGTTTAAAACTCATCTGCTGCCACATGGTTAGTCTCAAAGTTGGTTATTTAGAGCAAGGTTGTAAATGTGATTAATTCTTGTAGAATGACTAGCAAAAGTTCAACAAGAGTCTCTATTGCAATGTCACATTTATCTCCAGGTCAGTCAAGTTGGGTAATTTCTCAGAAGTCCAGAGTGTTTTAAAAAGTTATCCAAACAACAAGACCAGCTTTTGTATTTATGAACTTCCATATAAAAACCCATTAACATTTCTACTGATCAGAATATTAATTACTGCTTCATTCTGCTCCCTCCCTCCCTCTCACCACTTGTTTTTCCCACAATTCCTTCTCTGTTTTTTTTATGCTGAAGCAAGAATTAAAGAAACAAGGTTAGCTTTGAGACTGAATGCAAGTAATAGCTGAAACAATCTACTAGCATTAAAATTTGTGTTACAGCCAAAGCAAATCAAGCAGGGAGGCAGAGACACGGTGGCAACTTCTGAGTATCTAGTAGGCAACCGCATCTTAAAAAAAGGCAGCCGTGCTGCTCTCGGCAGAAGCTGCCCCATCTCTCGCAGGGCTGATGGAGCTCGGATGCGCTCCACATCACGACCTGCTTTCTGCCAGCGGCGGCTGTCGTGATGGAGAGGGGGTCGTGCACCCGTCGCAGCTGCTCCGAACTGTGGTGGGGGAAAGAGGGAGAGAGGAGGGCGAACATCTGGAGGCAGTAAAGTCTGGCTCAACCCGTGCAGCTCGGCTTGATGTGCTCACACGAGCGCCCACTGATCTGTTACCTTGTTCCTTTTCTTGTCTCTCCCATGGAAAACAGATGTGGAATGTCACGTTATATAGATTAAAAGTGCCACATCTGACACGAGGCCATGACTAAAGATGACGCGACAAATGGGAAGCAGCAAACTCCCAAGTGTTACGATGTGTGCACGTTCCTAATTAGCACTTACGCATTTTCTTCATTTCAGTTCTTGTGACTGAGCATATAAACAGCCAGACACCTAATCTACTGATTAACAACTCCTTCACATATGCTAATGTATAATTGCTAAAGGCCTGAAGAATCAGATTTTTCTCAATTATTCGTTATTTAGAAGTCAAAACTAATCAGATTCCACAGAAATCTGATGTTCTACCAGCTGTGCTTGGCCTAATAAACCACCACTACCTTTTGGTGAATGTTAGTCCTGTTTTTAGAGAAACCGATGGTGTATTTGAAGCTTCCACCACCATTAATTTGAAGACCTCAATGTACTGTGACTGACACACGCTGAGGTCTGAACAGGCAGGATACTGTTGAGAAATCAGAGGACACAGTAAAACATCCCTTCGTGTAAGAAGCAAATGCAAAACATTTGTGGCTTCAGTATAACGGTTTTTCTCTGGCATAACATGGAAACAGGAAAGGCAAGTGATAATTGATGAAAAAACATGACAAAAAAGACACAGGTTCCGGGAATTTTGCATTAGACAAATGTGATTCACAGAGCTCACATAAATGCAATGTAATCTTGGCTGTTTAGAAACCTGAGTCTCCCCTTTGATGGGCATGTTGTTTAAATTCTCAGGGACTGGTGTGCATTTCAAGCATTATTATAAATAACATCCACTCTTTGGAACCCAATAAGAGCTTTAGTTGCATTTTTAAACACTTGTGTGTGAATGGTCTCATTAGTCATTTTTTCCATTTTATCTCTAGGCTGCATGTGTTTTTTGCTTATGAAGCACTGTTGCCTTGTTTTGTAGCCATAAAGAACTGTTCCAAGAATACCAATTTTTTAGAAAGATTTTCATTCCAGACTTGTTCCCCTCAGAGAATTTAAACATCCCCTCCCCGCTGCCTTCTGCTCCCAGTTAGTGAGCTACATAAAGTAATCCAGAAAGATGCTGGACCAGAATTTCAACAACTGGCATTATGCAAGGGGATGCCGTTTTCTTTACCTATGCTATAAACTTCTCAGTAAAAGCTGGCTACAGCCAACTGTGAACCTATGCTAAAGGAGGAATCCTTTCCACAAAATGCATGGATTCGAATGCTTCTTTCAGTCTGACTCATGTTACCCTGAGTATACCTGTCAGGAAGGGGAAGCAGCCCGCCTGATTTGACGTCTTGTTATTGAGGCACATGAAATTCTGTGAATACTCTGCATGCCTCCAAATGAAATGTAAAATTGCACAAGTATAATAACTGCTATGAGTATGAGATAAAAGCAACAAAATACTCTTGGCTTTGTTTTTCACGTTGAAGTTTTCTAAAAACGTAGGCTGTAAAGAAAGAAAACAAATTAAAATGGTTCTGGAGGGGAAATTCGGCAGAAGCTGGCTGATTTTGTAGCTGAGAAAGACACAGGGGGTTTTTTCTGACAGTTTTGTGGTAAGACTGTTTAGTGCATTGCAGACGCACCCCTTTAGTTCTCCATGTGAGTCTAAATAGAGATTTATAAAAACTACAGCTACAGACAGATCCATTGTTTCCCAAACATCTGGATTTCCATGTGCTGGATTTAGGTAAGAAGTATCTACAAGATATGGAGTACCTTCAGTCATAAAACACACCCATGGAAAATCACTGAGTCTGGGAGGGTAACGTTCATCCTGAAACAGGCCGTCCATTGCCGTAGGCTGCTCTGGTTTGCTCCAGGGCTGCACCAGGGAGCACTGCAGCTCCTTCTGAGCTGGAGGAGTCAGGACCCAGCTGGACCCAGTGCTTCCAGGGTGCAGGCTGGCCTGCTTTTTGGCAGATGGCATCACGCTTTGGTGATGCACAGAATATATGGAGGCTTACCTTGATCTATACATTACAAAGCCTGATGGTAACAGGCATCACTGCAAGAGTCCATGCCCGTATTCACCCTTGTAGCCACAGTGAAACCAAGGAGCTTTTAGAGGTGTAAAATCCCATCCAAGCTTGACACATCTCCTTCCCTCCCCCAAACACACACACACATGAAGTCTGGCCCCTGCTTCGCAATGGGTGGTGAAACCACACTGCTTGGTTTTTGCAAAGTTCAGAAACCGGGGTCAAAGTGGTGGTGACAAACCTGTATCAGCTGGGCTGCGCTCTCTGGACTGCCGTACCGATGGTCATGCCCATTGATGGCCAACACCCGGTCGTTCTCTTGAAGCTGTCCATCACGGGCAGCCACGCCGCCTTCCAGCAAGTTGAAAATAAACACCCCCGGTTCATCGGCCTTGCGGACCAGCTTTATTCCCAGCTGCTCGTCCGGACTGCTTTTGTTTAGCACAACATGGAAACTGTTGTCCCTATTGCAGTGAGCATCAAGGGAAAGTCCGCTGTTTCGGCATCGGTACCTCTGCTCTCGGAGCACCGTCAGTCGGAGTACGTGGCAGGGTTGCGTCAGGAGTGATAGGGCATAGTTGTGAGGCACATTTTTGATGTCCATGCCATTTACCTGGAAGAGAGAAGCATAAATCAGCAGCAGAAAGACCATCTAATCTGAATTGGCACTGGAGAGGGCAGATCTATTTACACAGATGTCTTCATACGAAGTGACGTGTGCTACTTCAAACTGTGTCACACAGGAGGCCAAGTTTGCAATGCAGTACAGTCTTCCCCCCAAGGAAAAGACGTGCTGTACAGACACTTTCTGCCTTTTTTTTCCCACTTTCTCCCTGATAGTCTCCAGACATATATGTTATTTTTCAGCTTTATTATTGCTCTTTCCCAAGCTCCAATATCCTTTCATATATCTTACTTTTATTCCGCTAGCTTCTGATTTCATATCGCCTTGCCAGCCTTTCCTTTCACTCCCACCACTTTCCTGCTGTTTCTCTTCTTCATTATCTCCCAGCTGTTCTAGGTGCAGTAAAAAAAATGTTCCCCACTAATGAATCTCTAACTAAAATGAAGAAAAGAGCCTCAAGCAGAAGTTTAAAATCCCTGGATATTTACTAGCAATTATGCTGATATACCACACCAGAGAATCAGGCTTTTTACATTTCTCAGTGTTTTCCAGGTAAAATTTAGCTCAGATGGTGGTAAAACTGCGTAACTGCCACTTCTTTAATTTGGCAGGGGAAAAGAAAGAGAAAAAAAAGAGCTTCAAATCAATCCCGTCATGTCCGTGTGTGTAAGAGTGACTAGGCATTGCACTTTATCACTGCTAAATGAAAACCAGTTGCAAGGTTGTAAGTCGTTGCTGGCTGGAAAACCTGAATCAGACAAGTTATTTCCATGTAGTTTTACATTGCACGGGTTGAACCATTTAAATATTAAGAAACCTCTCCAAATTGCAACAGAAATGTTCCCCAGCACAGACAAAAGCTTTTGACTGGCATTTGTTTTTGCAGTGGTTGTTCCCACTGCAGTCTGATGGGAGGACTGCACCCCTAGAGACACAGCTCAACTAACTTTAAGTTGCCAGCTTGGGTACCACAAATGGAGTGAGCTGCACCAGCATGGGGCTGAAATTGCTGGGAATCCTCAGTAAATCCCTGGGCAGTCAGCCACAGCTGGGGAGAGCTGAGACGGCCCGTCTGTGCTGCAATCACAGCTTCCCACTGCAGTTTGGATGTGCCCTGCAGGAACGGTTTTGGCTCAGTGGTGCCATTAACTCTGCCACTCTGTGCCGGCACCAGGACAAAAAGCCTCCCTGAAACGCGCAACTGGGTGACACTCATCCAGCTGCTGCCTGGAACCACAATCCAGAGGCATGTTTAAACAGTGCCAGAGCAAAGTATGCCCACATCATGATCCTGAGAAATCCTTTTGGCCATGGTCTTTCAGAAGCAGAAGGCATGTCACAACCCTGGCATGCCTCAAGTGTCCTCAGCTACCGCTGGGATCAGCAAAAGCTAGGAAAGCATGGTGGCTTACAGGTGGTGCTCTGAACTTCAAAGGATGGTATCCTTAATAATTACTCACATGAAATATGTAGTAGAAGTCGTCAGTAGGGCTGAGAGAACTGTTCACTAACCCTACCAGCCAGGCACGCCAGAGTAGGCAGTAAGATGGGCATCCAGTCCCACCTGGAAGACAACCCTGACATATGCATGCTAGACCTTGCAGTCCACCCCACTTCCAGCTGCTATAGCCTTATCCAGCTAATGCCACACTGGTTAGCCTGGGTACCAGCACCAGTCTATCCATGGCAGCATGGCCTACAGTGAGAAAAGCAGCCTGCTCAAAAGTTTACCTGTAACTTGGAAAACCTATGCTGAGCTCTTTGCCATCTCTGGCCATGCTGTCACCAATATTTGAGCTAGCTGATTTAAGCTGCTTGGGGTATACCTGGGTGAGCTGCGGCTGTACCTTTGGCTTGCAATGTGAATACACCTGTGCACTCCAACTACACACCATCAAAGTGAGGAAAGTAACTGCTATTTTCTGTCCTCACTCTTTTCTTCTAAGGATTGAAACAATACAATTTAGCATCCTTTCAGAGCTCCAAGTCGCTAAGGCAGCTGAGAGTGCAGTTCCCATTCAAAAGCTATTGCTGAAGCCACTGCTCACAAGACACATGATCTTTTTTACATGATCTGGCCTAATTCTTGTTCATCTGTTATACATTTCTATAGAAACAGGAGCAGAAGTAGTAGCCAACAGCTAATGCCTTAATGCTGCTCAAGTTCGTTGTTAGAGATTTCACCTGTGGCTGCTGGTGGAACAACACTCCGAAAATAGCGCTGGTGGTGTCTCATGCTCTGCAGTGCTGAATACATCATACAGAGGAGCTAGATGCTGAAATAAATAACTTAACCCTGATCAGGCCCCTATCACCTGTCCTGGTGTAAGTGGGATGTAAGGCAATGGAAACCTCACTAACTTGAGATTTAAGCCCACAGTTCAGTAGAAACAAACTGGACAAAAAGCCCAGCCTCTGCTTTCAGAAAAAACTTTTGCACCACTGGGTCAGAAATGCCAACAGTATATTGCACTACATTGCATTTTGGATCTACCATGTTTGGGCAGAAATCAGAGAGGCCTGGTAGTGAACAGGAAAAATAAGCAAATCTGTGAGCCTCAAAACCTGTTGAAATGAATGAAATCATCACAGCATGCAAAGGAACTGCATGTCTCTGCATGCATTATTCTACCCATGCAAACAAGGAACACTGCAAATCTCATCTCATGATTGACTTACACCATCTTATTCTTTGTTGGGATACTTTTATCTTGTACCTCCACAGTACTGTACCTTTAGTATCATGTCTCCAGGCAGCAATCTTCCATCTCTGGCAATTACCCCATCTCGATAAATATGCTGTATAATAATGTGAACCAAAGGAGTCTCACTGCCTCCCACAATCCTAATGGCCAGGTTTTCCTGGGGATCGGTACGGTTGATCTTAATGCAGGTAATTTCTCCATCTGGAATCAGGTGATACAACCTGGGAAAACCTGGAAATGCACATTGTAAGGTATTTATTTGACATCACAGCTTGGCTTTGTTAAAACATGCACCCCACAACTTCAAGTACCTGCCAGTTATTCAACCTAGGTTTTATGCATGGATGTGATTTATACTGAGTGGGGAGGAAAGGATACGTATGCTTGCTGAGTGGACTTGAAGGGATCTATTTTTAATTAATACATTCCAACTTCCTTTTTTCCCCACAAAACACAGTCCTAAACCTTTGATGTAATCGGGACAGATGAAATGTACTTAAAAACAGTTACACGTACTAATATTTTAAGGGAACAAAATATATTTTTAGTCACCAGAGACCCCTCTGAACCAGGCCACGGTTCCTTGCTGGCCCTAGAGCAGATGGGCATGGACACCTCGACAAACATCCACCCCCGCTGTGGTAGGCTGCACACCCTGTCTCACTGGTAGCATCCCAGACTGCCCTGTTTTCCTCCATTTTTGGTGCCATAGGTGAGGACTGGGTGCTTGGCTTGTGACATCCAAGGAAGGGTTCTTTTACCTTCAGCTAACAGAAAGGCAGGATTTCTTGGGCAACCCAAAGCACACAGTAGTTTCCCTACCAGACCCTTCTCTTTTCATCACTCCTTGAACTCTAAGAAGTAGGAATGACTTACTGCGACGTGTCTGTATTAAAACCATGGTATGCTCAAGGTGCCTGGAGGGAAAGAACTCTGCTGGCCCTGGCAAACTGAGTGTAGGGAAGAGGGACTAATGGTGGGCAGAGATCCTTTTTGTATCCATAATGCACTAGATAAGAGTATCCTCTTCCAAACCCTACTTTTCCACTGGCATGTTTGCTTTCACAGCATGTCACTAATACTTTCTTTCCTTCTAGGTCAATTAAAAATTTTAATCCACATTCAACAGTAAGCAAAGTTGAAGTAAAAGCACCAGTGAGTTTTGTAGCACAGGTGTATCAGCCTTCAATTATTCTGAATCCCCAAAAAAGGGGAGAGAGAGCTTTTGAATTTTTTGTGTGTGGGTCCAATCCAGCACTTACATGAAAAACCTTTAAGTTGAAAAATTAAGTGCTAATATTTTTTTCAATAGCCTATTTTAGAAATGAAAGAACAGTGACTGGTACTGAATAGAGGTAAAATGTTAAATAAAAATTAACAGAGCAGTATCTGAGAGAATAAATATTTTCTACTACAGAATTAGCAGGCAACAAACCAGCAAGGCACCAGAACCTTTTGGGAAAGAGCAAGGGGAAGGAAAGAACAGGAAAAAAATATTAAGAAACACCATGTTGCATCCCTTACCACTTCTTTGATCATATGCTCTTCGGGGTGGGAAGCTGTCTTCCTCCACATCTGTAAAAAGCACCTACCAGTAGCACAGACTTCGACTTTGTGGTTTTACACAGAGTTGACAGGCAATAAAAGTCTATCTGGATAACGATACAGCCTTCATCAACCTAATATCCAAGTATTCATTTAGTTTATACTCTTGTAGTAGCAGTTTCTGTGCTAATAGGGGTTTACTCGAGTTTTGCGCACAACTTTAATGTCTCGGGAACGAAAGGTGCTTTATTTTCCCCATGCTCCTCTATTTTCTGAACATTTGCCCAGCTTGTAACTTGTTCACTGTCTCTAGCCTGAAGGGTGGATTCACTCCATCTAAATCCAGGCCTCTAAGCCAAATGCATCATTTGGTGATCTACTTGCTCTGGCTTCCTTTATAATGCATGGGCACCCAAAGGGAGCGATACCTGCTTCACTGCTAAATCACCTCTGGAGGTGCTAAACTCTCTCAACCGCTATATAAGCAGAAAGAGGCAATTAACTCTGGCATCTCAGTGGGGTGCTTAAAGTCAGACCATACAAGTACTCCTCAAAAATCACCAAAGGCCTGATCCCTGCAGCAGAATAAGCATGCACATTTTACACTCTCAGTGTGGCTATAAGGGTATTTATATGTAAAAATGCAAATGATAACCTGGATCCCCAGAGATCTTCTCTGCACAGAAATAGCATAAATAAATATCTCTGTATGTTTTGCAGGCTACCAAAGCAGTCTTATAGCAGAACTACTTCCACTTCCCATTGCATGATGATTCACTGCATGTCCTAACAAACCGTGCTTTTTGACTCAAACACTCATTCTCCCATATCTCATTCTGAAAACTTTTCTAAAGGAATTACCCAGTTACATTTCTTGACCATGGAGAACTGTGGACTGAACAAGCTATTGACACTCTCACGTTATTTCAGTCTGTAATTACCCTAGAGCAAAATCAGAGCAACATGGCAGTGAACAAGCCTCTGCACTTATATGAGACTTACGTATAACTTTATATAAGGTATAAACTTAAAGAAGTTTCTTTGCATCTTGAACAATGCTTTAACTGGTTTATTAAGTCTTGCAGTGTCACTTGGCTGACTTTCAATATGACTTTATGCAGATTCTTTTAGAGGAATTTTTACTACCTAATTTCCTTCTGAAATGTGCAGTCTACAACAAAACAAATCTTCCCAAGATATTTTTCTTGCCAGTCTGCAAGTTACTAAGTTTTCTCTTTTCATAGTTAACAGGATGTACTGCCTCACCTCCTGTCTTCATCTGATTCGTGTTCTTTATCAAATATAATTAATAAATTGCACCATGTTCTCCTCAGATGGGCCAAGCAACAAAAATAACTCCATGATCCCTTAATTTCTGCTCTCTTCATGGAAGACTTGCTTTTTGTTTTCATCCCAGACATATATATGGATGTTTGTATTACCAACATCTTGGACTGTCATAAGTGAAAGACCAATGCCTATTTTGATAAACTAACAGTAAGTCTGACAAGCTAAATATACAGAATACACAAATACATATTTTTTTCAATAAGAAAATTCATGATCTCTTTTTCACCAAACAGTCTGTATACGTTGTGTGCAGTTTGATCAAAACCTACCACACCTATTTCAAGGTGATGCCGTGTCTGGAAAGCAATGTCTTCAACTTGAATTTTTCTAATGCATATACCATACCCAGAAGAGGTGGACCCTGCTCCAGCACCTGGTTGCGTACAGTGAATGGGGCCTCAGCAGCCCAGTCTAAGGGACTCCAACTGGGATGAGGGCTTGTACCATTCACATATACACAGCCTGTTGTGAGGCTGGAACATCAGTTTGCACAGATCCCATTTTCCAGCCCTTACACTCTTAATTAGAATTCTCCATTCTCTTTGACCAGGTTTTCCAGAGCAGGAAAACCCAGGAGTATTGCATACCTTTCTTTACCATTTTATATTTCCAATCCTTAAATATCGAAGAGCTGCTGAATCTAGAAAGAAGTAAACTTTCTGTCTTGTTTTTGGTGATTCTTGCAGGTTTTCCCACAGAGTGTTGTGTTTTTGTCACCGGGGGTTGCATGGAGCATTCTGAATCTGTCAATATAATAAAATGTCATCTGCATTCAGAAAGATTGTGTGTGCTTTTTCCTCAAGCAATATTTTCCTTATATTAGTGAGCAATTTTATTGTTATTATTTTCACACATTCCATTGCAATAACAAATACCATAGGAGAGACCAGCTTTACACAGTAAACGCCACTTGTCTGGTACGATGTAGGACACCGAGCACTTGTTAGTATAGCAGCCATGAGACTGTAATACAAAATTTTAAGTATGCTTAATATTTTATCCTCACATTTTATAATACTTAATGATAGTGTTCCTTCAGTGCTCAGGTTTTGGCTGACTTCTGTGCACACCGTGCTCCTTCTGACAGTGTTGCCATCAGGATAACTTCTGCCTTCATTCCCAGTATCCAGTGTGACAAAGCACTGTGTAATGTTTGCTATGACTCTTGAGTCCAGATTAATCAAAGGTAATCATTGCAAACAAAACTTGTGTCTCAGGTTACAAGTCCTTATTTAGATCAGAAGTTCTGACTGATGTGAGGAGCCAGCCCACCCCCCCAAAAAAGGCTATCTGCAGGGAGACACACTCATGCTTCCCAGCACCTGGTCACCAGAATTTAAACAAAGCTTGTGTAACCTATTGTTGGAAAATTCTTGTGTCTGTGAGCGTCACATGCACTTGCACTAGTGTGGGACTTTGTTCTGCAACTCTTCTGTCCCAACTGATTTTCATTTATCATTTCATTCTCCCAGCAGTTTGCCATCATTTTGGTTTAATCCCTTCCATTAATTGTCCAGGGATGCTGGTCCAATGCAGGGGGCAGGTAGAAGGCAATGCCAGCTCTAATGTCTCTTCTTGCATCTGGACATTCCTCTCACCAAAAGAGTCCCAAAAGAACTAAAATGAAACTGTTGTAGAGTTGAATGTGTCTCAAAAGGGTTGTGGCTATATCTCATCAACAGCAGGCAAATTTTACCAGTCTGCAGTGGAGGAAATGCTACAGAGCCAATCTCTTTCTTCTGGAAGTTGCCTGACTCATCGTCCTACAGCAAAGTGCTTTGAACTAATTCTGTAAGATTTCCAACAGCTGTTTGGGGAAATTGGAACTGCAACTGTATCCAATCTGGGGAACAGCGTGGGATTCCTGCAGGGTGCAGCCTTCCTGAGACAGAAGTTGGGCTGCCCTGTCTTGTCCTGGGGCTGGATAAGCCCCTTTCTTTTCTGCACATAAAGAGCATTAATGCCTTAATGCTGTGAAATGGTTGATACGAAGAGCCATCTGTGTTTCACTTACCTTCTTTTTCTTCATGCACCTTTCCCCAAAACTGACGTATTGATAATATCTATTTTATATATGTCTATATATAAAATACAACAGGGCTCAGACTGAACAGTAGGAATGAGATACACCCATACAACAGGAGAGTCTGTTCTGCGGTTCTGCCAGGGCCTGCCTTGGTCTTGAGTGCTGCAAAGCAATAACAGATGGTAGAACTGCACCCACCATGAGACTAAGAATAATGAGTTTGACTTTGAACAACATTTGACATCCTCAAGCAATCATAAATTCAATTTATTTTACAATGGCTTGACTGCAAAATGGAACTGATGAACGTTTTTGAAAACCAGCAGCGTGGCTCCCTTTTACAGTAAAAATTGTATAGGGTTTTTGCAATTGCATTCCCAAATTCTTTCCTCCTAAAGCATTAGCTGGTTTATGACTTGTATTTCTAGATCAGTTTGAGTAAAGAGTATGTATATATAGTTTTTCTTGGAAGTGAATTTAAGAGGTGTGAAGCCAAACTAAGAGTACAGTGATACAAATAAGCATAGCAAAGCTGGACCACTCTTTGCTCAGAGATATTTTATCTTTTAAGTAGATTGTCAAGGTCATTTACACCAGTAGATCCAGTCAGAAGATATTACATCTTAAATGCATCAGTGCCAGAAGGATGTCCATGACACCTTCCCTCACATCTCAGAATGAAACCATCTCTTTGAAGATCTCCTAACTTCTACTTCAGACCTGGAAAGCTATTTGTAGCTGTAAGTGTTATTAATGAGATTAGTCTCAGGAGGATATCACAAGCTTGGGTGCTGCACTACAGACAAATACTTCTTTGCATGGGTTATTTACCAATGACCAAATTATTAAAAATGAGAAAACCTTAATGACTCCTTGCCCCAAACATTTTCTCATCAGTGTTTGCACTTTTCATTCATTTCTAACATTTTCTTCAGTTTGGACAATGAACAGTTCTCTGCTGGAAATGTCACCAAAACATTTAAACAGAGGAACAAAGAAAGTCTGAACCATTAAAATCCAAAATGGCCACTTATGACATTGTTTAAGCAAATCAAACCACAGGTTGCAAATGGAAACCATAAAGTAATCTTCACAGTGCAGGACTGCTACCAGCTCCAGGTATCTTATAAGATAGCATTAGACTGTAACTATTTCTCTGCTGTAAGTATAGCACAAACACATTTGCCGTTATACATCATATTTTTCAGTGTCCTTGGGTAGCAAAGGAGTTTTCCAAAACCAGTACTGCATTCAGCTTCAAGTTAAGCAGAATCATGGTTACCCGAATATTTTTTCCCCCGTATCAGGAATGATTATTTTGTCTGGCACCCTCACAGTCATATCGCAACTGAGCATTGGCCCAACAGATATATCAGATTCAGATTAAAGGCACCTACACACTCTGCAGTGGGCAAATAGTTCATTTGACATCAGTGCTGCTGATGCTGAGGGCCAATACATAGGTACACACTATGGTTTTTGTTCTCAGAGCTCCTTTGATGAAAATACGGGCAAAGCACAGATTAAACAGAGACATCTGAACTAAGACGAGGGAATTCTGAAAACTGGGGACAAATGGACTATAATACATTGAACTTTGCCAGATGATCTGACAGGTCCTTTATCAACAAGAGGTTATCAGCAAGAAAGGGTTACTTCACTCTGTGCCCACTGTGAGGCTGACACAGTCTCAGTGTTATTCTTCTCACGCACTGACTAAGCCTGGTGAGGAAAGGAGACACCAGAGAGGTGGTGAAGTGCTGTCCAATCTCCTGGAGCAATGAGGCATGGCTGAGGTGTGCTCTCAGGTGGTCCCAGACATGAACTTGTGAAACTTGGGGCGAGGCAGCAGCAGCTTTCACACCAGGTGTGGGGACCTCCAAAGCCAGGAACCACCGCCCACAGGAGCGCCTCCATTGCCAGTAGAGTGGCAATGGGGAGACAGACACGTGGGGCTGCCTTTTTCCAATGACTTTGGGCTGGACCTTTGGCAAGCACAGGGCAGGCCATACTGTAGCTATCCCTAAAGTTTGACCAGCAACTCTAACCAAAAGTGCAACCAAGTCTAACCAAGAGTCCAACTGCAGACTGCTCAGAACAGCTACGGATTTAAAAAAATAAATAAAAGAAGAAAACACACAGAATTGGAGAAGAAAACAAGCCTCCAGCTGGCAGGATGATGATAACTGCAACAGAAAGAAGTATATTCATTTCCTCCTCCAACAAGAAGAAACAGGGAGACCCTCTGAGATGCCATTATACAGAGCACCTGTTGCAAAGGACTGAGTAGAGGTCTTTGTTAAAGTTGTATTTGTATCGCTGCAAGTTACTTGCTTGCATTTTTTTAGAGACCAAATTCCAGAACTGTGTAATCAAAGTGCATTCTTTGCAAATGTAATTAATACAGTAATTTAGGTACCCAGCTTCTGTGATCTCATACGTAAGAATAACAGCTCATTAAGTAATTACACGCCTACCTGGTTTTTCCAGTGCTGTAGAATATATTTGCAAGTTTACAGGCATGCTTGGTGCAGAGGAATGAAACCACAAGCAGAGTCAAGGAGAGAAGGACAATCTTGACACTGTCAATGGGGCCCTGGAGTGATTGCCACTTCAGTGCCCCATTATACGTCCCTTAAAAAGGAGACAACAGCTCTTTTCATTCTGCTGGAAATGTAAAGGCCAGTGTCATCTTCACAAACTTCCTTCTGTTAACATCTGGACTGCACTGGGTTGCTGGGTAGGTACTGTTGCCATCCATATCACCCACACACTCTGGACATGAAACGAAGCTTTCAGTGGAACAAATGTGAATGTCAGCTATAAGCCTAGGTAGAAAGTAATCATAAAAATGTCTATGCCCCATCCTGAAGAGGTGTCTTTTGAAAAGTATGAACTTGAGACATGCAGAATTTCACTCCAGCTGAAGAAGGGCAAGCTTTTGCTTACAATGAATTGAACAGTTGCTAGGGAATGAGAAACGGTGTCTGTCTGCTCAGAGAGCTGTAGACAACTTATTTGCAAAATTTTACTTGGGGAAAAATAATAAAATATTTAGGACAGTGAAGGTATTAATGATGTTTCCAGACCAAGGAGCAGATTCACATTATTTTTATGGAAAAGGTTCACAGTTTTGAATTATCAGGTTTTATTTTGGCTACATCAGCAAGTCTGTGGACTAGGAGAGTAAGTACCAAGAACACAGAAACGTGGTGAAACTCTCCTGAAGGAATAAGCAAATAGAGCAGAAGAAATATTGAACACTATTCTCCAATTCACCACTTAAAGAATAATGATGCTTAAACACAGCATTTGGCAGCCTTTTGTACTTATTTTGTGAGGGTTTCAATGACAGCTTGAAATACAGAGCAAAGGGAAGTTGGATATTCTGTCTTCTTAAAGCCCTTACCCTGGACATTTGATCTGGGAAGACACGTGAGGTGCTGAGGCGTCAAGCAAAGGAATAATAAGCTCAGTGAAGACCTTGATTAAGACAATGATTCCCACTCTATCATCACTTCCTCTTGATGCATGAATGCTAATGTTGACTTCGTAATTACGGTCCAAAGCAATTAGTAACATTTGCTTATTGCTTTGAGAATGCCAAATGTTAAGTGTTACTGCCTGCCAGACCCCTCATTCTTGACATACGTCAGACAAACTTGCCTCTCCCTGCTGTTTAAGAGCAGAGCACTCTTACCTCATCACCTGCCTGGCTGAGGTAATACAAGTCTGTCACCAAGGAACCCACAGAAGTGCTGGAATAATTACAGTACTTTGCACTTTCATACCATCCTCCCACAGGGAATTTCCAGTGCTTCATAAACGTTAGCCAAAACTCATGAATTTCCTATAATGTATGATCACTGTGATCCGTTTGCTTTACAGGGACAGACACATGCTGATGAAACCTCTTGAACAAAATGATAGAGCAAATCGATGACAGCTGCAGTAATAGATCCCAGATGCCCAGATCCCACATCCCGTGTGCTAGATACTGGCCTGGCTGTAGCACGCAGGCTGTTACCACTACGTGAGGTCCCACACACCCCAGCAACATTCTTGCCTGCCACTCACTAACAACTTTTTAAAGACGAAAATAAGGAAAGATTGAGTTTTCTGGCTTTTTAATCACACACAGCCCACTACATACATGAAAGACGTGGACATCCAGTTCCCACATGGATAGGGTCCCCTATCCCATTTTAAGTGATAACACAAGGAGGGTAAAGCATTACCTTCCTCTCCAGCAGCAGAGTTTCCAACAGTTTCTCTTTCCCGGTCAGCCTGGTTGGAAACGGCGCTTCCACTTTTTGTCCTTCGAAGAACACTGAATGCCTTGTTTATTTTTTTAAAAGATCTGCTTCTTATAGTGGAGCGTTCAAAGTGTCGAGCTGCAACAACAGGAAAAAACCAAATGAATACAGTTCAGCAGTTCTGGGCTAGAACCACACCTTTTCTGCAGCTGTCGGCATACGACAGGGCATAACATCAACAGCAAGGCTGCCTGCACTTCACCTTTGCACCTGACTCCAGCTGTTACTCCAAGGTTGCACCCACCTGAATCTGGGTACAATTATCCTACCTCTCTCCCACACCCTGGAATTGCCACCTTCCCTGTCTGTTTTGCCAGCAACACACAGAAATTTCCTGTGAGTGTGGTAGCCTGGGAGAGAATAATCCTCAGTCAAGGCAGAAGCAGCAGCACTCCTGTGAAAAATGCATAGAAAAGAAAGCAGCACTGCCCTTCTCAAGTTATATAAGTTTGAAAAAAACCCAAACAACCCAAACCTGGAAGTTGTTGTTAAAAACTCTTCTTGAAAAAAACCCCACACTACTGCCTCAAAACCCTGCAATGCTTTCAAAGCCACCAACAACAGCCAACAATTTCATGTCAAAAATTCAAAGATTATCAGGTGGGAGGGACCAACTAAGTCACATCTTCTAACCTGGGTAAGGCAATTAAAAAAAAAAGTCATAATACTTTCAAAACATGTCACTCTTTTCCATCCTGCTGAACATATCTTCGTGGCTGTGGCTGTTCTCTCTCTTCGAGCTCTGCGTGCTAGCCAAACATTGTAATCTAATATACAACATTCCCTCAAACCAGACTGTGGCCTCTAAACTCAATAAAACTGGTGGGATTTAATTTCATTCTGGTGTTCTCTTCTTACCCCCTCCCTTTCCTCACCTCTCTAGCCCCATGCAGACAAGAGGATAGCACTGCTCATTTTCTAGTCTTTCTTCAGCCCTTCATCTGTTCTCCCAACACACAGCTGGTGCAACACAAGGTGGGCTATTCATTTTGGCTTCGGAGTCCTCAAAGAAAAGCTTTGAACTCACTGTTAACACTTCCGAGTCTGCCTTTGGCCAGGCCACATTTTTCAGATATGACATTCATCAGAGCCAGGTGAAGTTTCACAGGGTGAAGGATCAAGGCAAGGTTTCCTGGTGCAACTTGTCCCTGACTATGGTTATTTCAGCAGGACCAGCTCCTCTGAGCTGCACCTCCCTGGGAGGCTAGCAAACATCCCCCAAGCTCCCAAGGCACTTCTTCAGGTTTGTTTTCCTGCAAATACTTGTCAACTGCCAATCACAGTTCCCAACAGGCTTCTGGGTAGTTGCCCATGGCATGGTCTATGCAGGTTACTTGGGCCACCATGTTTTGGTGAAGCCACCACACAGCTACCCCAGCTCCCCAGCACACTACACATGCCATTTGCTCTTCCAGCTGAGCTGACTTGCCTAAATAATCTTTCTTAATACCTGTGGTTTACATGTGTGCAGCTGGTCTGTCTTCAGCTTGATGCTGCCCTTGGCCAAGCAAATTTGGTTTTCACCTCAAATCTATTGGGTCACTGAGTGTGCAATTTGATAAACCATGTAAAATTAAAGCTTTCATAGTCCTTTTTTTTTTTTTGTTAAAGCCTCCAACAACATATGTTTCACAGAAAACAAATGCTGTCAGAGGCCACCAGGCTCTGAAACCATCACTTTTAGTTCTTACTTCTGTTTCGGTTGCCGCGATGCAGGTCTCCGGGGCTGCTGCCCAACTGGCTGTCCTCCGAGGTGGGGCTGAAGGCCGGGTTCACCAGCCCCGGCTCGTCTGTCATTAAGGCAATGGCTGCAGCTGAGGAGAGCTCGGGGCCCAGGGCAGCTACTGCTAAACTGGAGCCATGGTCTGGAGAGCAGTCTTGGGAACGCCTCTTCCGTTCCTTGGTAAGGCCATAGTGGGATGCTCCTTTACATCTAAGGAGAAGGGAGGGAAAGAGAGACATGATAACAATTTGTATTTAAATGGTGGGTACTCATAGAAGTTATCTGGTGCCAAGGAATCACTTGGAGTACAAACTATGACAGTCATGGTGGCTGATGAAATATGGGTGGTTAGCAAGAGGGAAAAATGCCAGTCCCATCATGTTACACAGAAAAAGAAGGAAAACTGTCCTACAAAGTAGCTGAGTTACCACCTTACGGAGAGAGACTACTGCTGGTCAAGAAAAAACAGAGAGCTGCAGCCTTGTGTGTAGTCTCATGTGTATAAATAGTTACTGCGGATGCAAGAGGACAGGAATAGCAGGTGGCTAATGAAGCCAGAGGCTACAGTCTGTAATTTCCCCCTTGCCTCTGGTCAATGAAGGAGGGCAGGGTGAGGCCTGACAGCTTCTCCAGGTCTGCTGGTGAAATAAAAGGCGCCTCACCTAGCCCTTCACCCTGAAAAACCTTCCTGTCACCAAGGTGGTCTCACGGGGAGCACAGCACTGTAGTCTTTCATGCAGGAGGCAGGGTCTGCCCTTTGGGTAGAAGCCAATGCAATCAATGAAGGGAGGGCTGCAGCTGGGAGTTGAACCCCCCAGGGTCTGCGGGAATCAAGTCCCCACGCAGTGCCCATACAGACCATTTACTACTTGAACTGCACCTAATGAATTGTTTTCAAATTCAGCCATGGAGGCGAAGTTTCCAGCTCTGCTATTCCAGCTCAGTTGAGACACTAAAATAGAGGCGTCACTGCCTTGACAGAGGAAGAGGTGCAGGAGGCGGGGGGGTCCCACTGGCCCTGCAGCCCTGCCAGAGCCAAGGAGGGAGTGCAGAGCTCCCACCAAATGGCTGAGTGCAGGTCCTCAGACCAAGGTCCTTGGGCCAACCTGGGACTTCACCTCTTTGGGGAGCTAAAGGCGGGTTCTAAAATAATTCCAGAGGAAAATCCAAATCCTAACTCGACCTCCACAGTGACAAAATCCTCCGTTTCTGGTGGAGCCATGCATGTTCCCAGAAGAGCTGAAGATACAGCATTGTAAGAGGCAGATTATAAGCCTGCTTTGAAACAACTTACTTGTGCTCCCAACTATCTGCTCTAGATTCATTCTAGACAGCAAAGGCAGGACCACACATGGCATTTCTTTCTTAAGATTTGTTAAAGTCACTTGAATGAAATTAAAGGTCACTATGCTCTTCATGAGTCAGTATTTAATTACAGCTATAAAATAACTAAAGAGACAGAGTGGCCCAAGAACACAGCACCTGTGACTTTTCTCCAGCACCTCTTCTGCCCAGTGCCCACCCACTAGAACCTCATTCACTGCATTAAAAAGAAAATCTGCCTTTTAATCATAATCTAATGAGCTTGGCCTACTTTCAGTTACTGTTATCTCTTTCTTCATAGCAAAGGCTAACTGATGACTTTCATAAAAGTGCCCTGTAGGACGAACTCACAGAAATAGCTGCCGAAACCCTTAGGGATAGAAAGCTCTTTGTAATATATGGCATGCACAAAAGGCAATGCATAATGCATACAGTACACAACGCTAGTGGGTTAAGCATCAGAAAAGAAGTAGTACACTGAACAGAAGCCTTGGAAGAGAAATGATTTATGAAAGCAGTTCCTGGGACAGAAAGATGAGATGCAGCCGAGTCACAGAGCTCTCTATATCAGCTTTGGAGCAGTAGTTTAATTTCTCTTATGGTATTGGCTTTTTATGAGAGAGAATTGAATTAAAACCTTTTTTTAGCATGAAATTATGATTTACCATCATTTACCTCATACCGCTTCTGACAACTTTTGTCTTAAAGAGGGGGAAAAAAACCCAACCCAAACTGTATCATATTGCTGCAACTAGGTAAGGGCTTTGTATATGCTTTAAGGTGTGGATGGGAATGGCTGTGGCAGAACTTATTTCTGAAACCTTTCACAGGCAAAATGAGGCATCTCAAAAGAACATACTCCTATGGAAGAGAAGGTTAGTCAACTATTTCAAAAGACCAACAAAGAGCTATTTGGGGCACCTATTCCAAGACAAGACTGCAACAATAATAGAGTAAAACAGAAAGGAAGAGCTCTCCTGCCTTCACTGCAGCAGGCATTTTCTTATTCCTTCCCGAAAAAAGGGGTGACTTCCACACCCTGCCCAGCATCCCACACCATGGCAGGATGCTCTCCTTTGTATTTCATAGGAAGCAGAAACACAAAGGCCTTCCCCTCTTGCAGCCTACCTAAACTTCTCCAACACAGCATTTTGGGAATCTGTCCTTGACCTCTCCCACTCACAGTAAGGTCACATTTACTAATCCAGCCTATGAATGCTCAACAAAATAGCTAAACAATAGTCTAAAAAGCCAACACAATGAAATGAACATAAAGAAATGGCTTCAGGGTGAATTGTTTGCTGTTCTCAAAAGACAACCTCTGCCTTACAGAGATCCTGTAAAGATTCGGAACATGATAAGAGATATTCCTGCTCCACATTTTATTTTATTTGCCTCTGTTTTCACTGTGCCAGTAAAGTTTCAGCAGCTGATATTAGAGCCTTGTGAATGGGTCCTCAAACGCAGATCTTTTTTTTTATTTTTGGTGGGTTGCATGAAGATCAACGTGAAGATCAGAAGTGGCTCTGCCCAAGGTTTCCCAGCTACATGGATTCAACTGCTGCCTGGTGCCCATCTGCACTTCCCTGCTAAAGCCTTCACTTTCTGTGGAAATCCTCACTCGCTGCTGCTGGCTGCACTGCAGACACCCAGCTAACAGCATCAATCCAACAGCAATGAACAGAAGACAGTTACTTTGAACATAGAGAGGGCTGACACAGTTTAAGATGCGGCTTATTGGAGAAGACAAGTTGTCATGATACAAAGCACAAGGCATATCTTTCTAACTCTGCCAGAAATAGTTAAAAGAGAACCAAAGCTCTTCAAGTATGAGCACTACAGCTATTTCTTAAATAATTGTGGCAGGCCTAAATGAACACAAATCAAGCCCTCTTTCTTCAGATTAACACAGTGTCCTTGAAGAAGAAAAAAAAGTCCCAAGCCCTCAAACTTGTAATAAAATCTGCAACAGCATCTCTTCACTTTCATTGTTTTCCTTGTGCTGACACTGCTGTGATAACAGAAAACAGAAGAGATGACTGTCTAAGTGGAATCATATTTATAGTGGCTCAGCTACATCTTTCCATATGGTTGGATTTGGCTCCTAGAAAAGAGAGATCCATAAAACAGCTACATGCCAGTACTAATTATCTCTCTCACTGTGATTATTAATCAGCTGCCTGATTTACAGCTGGAAGAGAGGGATACCTGATTAACATAGGTCAGTCAGAAAGCAAACCCAACACTGTCTGGTGGCCAAGGTGAGCTACAGATTTATGTTCCTTCTCAGTTGCGCCGGACAGCGAGTACATCCATGCAGCTGAAACAATTTGAAGGTCAAAACCGAGAGAGGTAAACAGACATGAATAATGCGTGTTGTACAGTTCATGCCATTAAAGTAGTGTCACTAGGTGCATACAGGAAATTCAGAAAATAGTTTCTTCTGTTTGCATGGCCTCTTTCATGAAGCAGAACTATGCTGGCCTAAATCCTGGCCGTATGAGCTAACGACCGGGCAGTGAAAGGGCAGTGGAGGCTGCTGAAGCTTCAAGCAGGTCTGCAATTCTGGCTGGCATCAACATCAGCAGCTGCAGGGCAAGCCTTGCCCTGCACCCAGCTCCTCGCGCGAGGGAGGGTCTGTGCTTCAGGAGCAGCACATCCCAAGCGCTGGAGCCAGGGGATCCAAAACTCTGTGGCTGCCTTAACTTGGTCCTACCATTGGTAAAAACAAGCTTCAGTCAAACTCAAGGCCAACAGAAACATTTCCACATCATTTGCAAATTGAAATGAAAACAGTTGTTTGAAAACAGAAATGCATTTTCCTTGCAGCATCCCTGACTTGCACAGCAAAGGAGCGCCTGAAAGAGAGGTCGACCTCAAGGATTTCCATTACGCAGGCTCACACTGGGCAAAACGTAAAGGCAAGACATAAACAAGGACAACTGCATGGGTTTTTTTCACTTCACTTCTAGTGATCTATATGAAAAAATATCACAGGAAAAAAAAAAAAAAGAAGTATATATTTATAATGCATTTGCTCTTTTAAAAATGCCCTGCTTTCTATTTCTGTCACTTTACAGGCTATCCCTCTTTCTCCCTGTCTCACACCTGACTGCCTAGGCAGGAAACACAGGAAAAAAAAGTGAGTCTAGAGAATGACAGTGCTTGTGAGCCAGGTCTGGCACAAATAAACAGAGCAGAAGCTCTCCCTGCCCATTTCCAGCAGTGCTTTCCCAACCTCACTTCCAGCACACTTATATTTTGGTGCTGTTTTGCTTTTATGCAGCAGCAATGGACACATTGTCTGAGTGCAATTAAGAATAATGTATACAAAGCACTCAGGATTGCCCAGCAGAAGAAAACACTGCATAATGGGCTGTTGTCGCTGATCCAAAGCTAAACCCTGATCAGGGTAGACAAGTCTGTTTCAGCTATGCCACTGCAAGCAATCTCATCCTTCTGTAATTTGGGCTTGACACAAGCCAGGATCAGAAGTACCAACAGTGTGTATCACACCCTGACCCTGTCACACAAACTGTTCCGACTGCTCTGGTACCCCTGAACTGATCTGGTGGAAAAGATGATGGAGAAACTGCAGATGACCTACAAGGAGCGTCCTGGATAAGCTGGTGCTGATAACCTCACTTGTGCAACCCTGGTGAGAGGCTCCTATTATGTCTGGGAAGGAAGCGGGGGGGATTTGAATTGGAGAGTTTGACTTACAAGAAGGTGTTGGCAATTTCTGCCCCACAGGAACCATTTGTACCGTGTGTGCATCAGCAGTGACTGTAGCCCAAACATAACCCAAATAACAACCACATGGTTTTCAGGCCAAACGCCTAAACTCTAAAGCTTTTTGAAACTCCATCATAAGGGAGTGAACTGAC